ACTAACAACTTAAAAATAAAATAGGTAACTTTTTTAAAGTTAAACGGTTTATTGTTTTCAATAGAAAGATAATAATGATGTAAATATTGTACTAAAAGTGAATTTTTTTACTATATTAGCAAGTGACAGATAATAATGTTGAAAATTACATTCAAGCACGAATGAATATATCCGTATAATTATTCTGTTTCTAAAGTGAATATGCTCCCCATGGACTAATACTGCATGTGTAAAATAATTTACAGTTAAAGGATATATTATATTCTAATTCTAAATCAAATCCTGCGACAATCTTTTATACTTTCTTTGACGACACGTTTGGCTCAGTTTGTAGTGGCCCTACTTTCTGTGCCGGCGGTCGCGGGTTCGAGTCCCGCTGGGGGCATTCATTTGTGTGATGACGAAGGTTTGTACTCCAGTCGTGGGTGTTTGTATTTATAATATATATGTATTTAAAGTTATATATGTGTAGTGCATCAACTATCTGGTATCCATAACACAAGCCTCGTAGCTTACCATGGAACTAGACGGTGCTGTGTGTTACTGTCCCAACATATTTACATATTTACTTTTAGGACAAAACATAGTCTAAGCTATTTCTGTACACAAACCTATAAAATGATTTATAGCTTTTGAAAACAACACAAACAACTAGCCGACACTCTTTCGCAATTTTTCAGGAAATAGCGTCACATCCATATATTTTTAGTTTTATAGTTATATTGATTCTATAAATTTAACTGGCGGAATAATAAACAAATATTCTTAAGTCATATATATTTTTATATACAACTAGAAGAACTCAGACTCAGGCTTCGCTCGCGCTAAAACTAAGTACGAAAAAATCTCTTAAAAGGTAGTTTCATACAAACTTTCATCCCATATTTTAAACCCTTATAGCATGAATTTCGAAAAATGCTAAAAAACGTATTTATTTAATTAACTTTATTGAAGAGCATTAATACCAAGTTCCAAGTAATTCTGATCATAAACATTTTTTTGAATTGCATTAGAACGTGTTTGTTTGGGAATTTATAGATAATCTCAGATCCCAGAGTTGTGACATAAGGGATAAAATCTTTAGCTATTTTATTTCTGTTAAGCCAAAGAACACACACACGTTTTTTACTGTTTTATTTTGTCTTAAGCTCGATAATATCTACTAAATTAAAAATATCGTTTGACAAACAAAGTAGAAAAAGGTACTGAATTATTTTGTCTTTGCCTGTTTATACGAGTATATAGATGCTGTTAGCTGTATTACTGGAATGTACTCGTAGTAAACTCGACATTGAAAATGGTTGCGTGTTTCTGTTATTTTATCACTGTTAGACCCTTACGTCAGATCCTTATGTTTTATGAGTTCATTTATAGCATATATCTTCTACGTCCTATACTAAAACTAGCTGAAACACATAATTAGGTATACAAACAAAATTAAATTTAGTAATTAAACATTTATATTTTCGTGTTTATTTTTTCATATGCAAACATAATATCCATAAATAAGTATTTTATAAAAATAGGCAATCTTATTACCTTACTTTTTCGTTATATTCGGTCGTTCAGGTCATTAAAAATGAAAAGCAAAATACTTACTTAAAAAACCTCAACACATTATAATCCTTGAAATCTTGTTTTGCGATATTATACTTCGAGAGCTCTCCTAATTGGATTCTTGTCAGATAAACCCATAATATAGATAGCACACTTTCGATGAGAATTTTCATCTATACATATAATCAAATTGTAACTAAGTCGAATCTGTACATTAAATATTTTGTGGAAAATCTTATTGAAATAGACATTATTATCGATACAGAGTCCGAATCTATAGTTTTTAGAACTTTTGTCTGTCTGTCTGTTACCGCATCACGAGAAAACCGCTCGACAGATTTTGATGAAATTTGGTATGATGATAGCTGGATATCCGGGTCAACATATAGGATACTTTTTACCGCGGTAAAATATTTCATTTCTGAGAAAAAATACAATAACTGCAATGTAAGAGTATACTAATATGTAAAACCTAACAATTGGTTTTTGGTCATCAGAACGCGGGCGGAGCCGCGGGCAATGCTAGTTATAATATAATAATTTATTAAGGACTAACGACTCACCCTCGATTTGCTCGGGTTCGTCCCTAGGTACGTGTTTCGTATATTATATGTATATATTCCTCTCATAAATATCTCGTGAATGTCAAAACAAATACATACTACTATAATCTCAGTACTTCACCGCTTCATACAACTATCAGTCTAATTCCAAACATGGTAACTTATATAACAGTGAACGTCCCTTTTATCAATTTCACGGATGAATTGGTATTTTAATTAATGATTGAAATCACCCAAAAACATGTTGTGTCGCAGTCATAGCCTCATAGTCTGTACCTACTCTGTACGATAACCCTACGTGTTACTCAGGTCAAAACGATAACTGTATGTCACTGGAAAATAAGTCATATCACAAATAACCTGAAATCCCCTATATTAAACCAATTATATTCTTGACACCACTTACTAGATATTATTCGTTTATAAATTTATTCAAATACCATTCAATATTTTCTGATAAAATATATGTCCGTTTTCAACTTCTCCTGAAAATGTTTATTGCATGCAACACAAAATTCCAATCAAACCCATCTCACGAATCTGTGGCGTGCTATTTTATATATTAGTTCCCGGAAGGTCAATTTACTGTATAAAAAATTGAACAAGTGCGTGTCTGACTCGCGTGCCGTGGGTTCCGTAGCATGAAAGGTTATTTAGGTATACATAATATGTAATAAAATGAATAAAAAGAAATACATAATATATTAATTTGCTCATCTACAATATTCGTTTCATCAACTGGAAAAATAGAATAGTATTTCATAGTACCTCTAAGTAGTTACCTCTATTAAAAACAACTTTATTAATCTTCTTTAACTGCCTCTGTGTAGTAGGTAGCATGTACGGCTGCACATCCGGAGGTCCTGGGTTCGAGACCGGGGTCAGACCAAGTTTGACTTATTTAAGTCTTTTTGTTAAGAAAATCCCAGTAGCAGCCCGGAGTTGGGAAGTTGGCGGTATGTCACCACCGTGCCTAAGACAGCACGTAAAGCGTCGGTCTTGCGCCTGATTTCTTACCGCTCTAATTAAATTATCGACTCATTGGAATTTGAGTGTAAGGAATAGAGCGAGCAGTCTTTTGTGCGCGTACACTTGTGCACAGTGCACTATAATATCTCCTACGCAGTAGACTAGTCTCAGTGAGATTGACCGCCATGGCCGGAATCGGTCTGGAGGACGCCATCATCATGATGAAATAAAAAGATATTTTTACGGCTGCACACGAGGCAAAGTACTCCATATCCCAAAAACAACTACATATATTTATAAAATATATTTTTTGTTGAAAGTAAGTTTACAAAAAATTTTAACTGCTTTCAGGACCGTGCGGTGCCGTGGCCCGTGATACGAGGCGGTGGCCCTAGGCGGTGCAAAATAGGGGCAGCATATGGAGCTACAAATACCTGGGGTATTGACTCTCATAGTCAACTTATGTGGACTCAATTTTTTTTGAAGAGAGAATCCCTTTTTTCGTAATTTGACAGAATTGTCTAGTGATTAACATGATAACCTACCTAACTTTCAGCAATATAGCTCCACTAGTCTCAGTAATATTACTGTGACGAGCGGACGGGCGGACAAAGAACCCTAATGAAATTTACCTAGGGGACGGGGAGGCATCAAGAACATGCATCATACTGAGAAAATCTATCGCAATTTAAAACGTTAAATAAATAAATTTAAAAAAAATGTACTAAAAAAACCTTAATTTTTACCAAAATCACTTCTCATTTTACCTTTTATTTTAAATTACTATTTTTTTAATAGAAAAATAACATCAAATCTTGAACAAGGACGTTCTTTAAAGCTTACTGTGGTTTCATTATTTAGGATGATATTCGCAGACCGCAGTACATAAGTACACTACATAGATGAAATACTACATGTTCTGTGAAAAATCTGGCTAAGTCATAGTGACTTAAACTAGTAGAAAGATAGAAGAAGGATCTGGTTGGAGCTATTGAGTACGGATCGCCAAAAAGCTGAATATCGTAAGACGTAAAATCAATTTAAGATCTGCGCATCTGCAATGTACTTAATGTTTAACGTAAATAATAAATAGTCCTACTAACAGAATTTCGTGTGTGTACAAACACAAGTGCACTATCAGTCTGTAGTCTCAAAGTCCGACGACGCTACTATTCGACACGAGTCACGACCGATGAGAGATCCGGCGAAGGCCGTAGAGAAAAACAAGGGCTGCTCCTGCTCTCAATCAGACGTGTAAAACCACCAACATACCAAATTTGGGCTGCTACTAAGAATTACTTAGTCATATTTTGTTTTCTTATTTCAGTCAGTTTAAAAATGATGGCATAGAAAATATTTGTCTTTAATGTCATATTTTTAATAAATATTACCATATAAAATACATAAATTAGTTAGTTTAATTTTTATTTAGTTTTAATTTTTAAAACATATTATTAACTAGCGATTATACTCGCTTCGCTCGGGTGTGTTCCTGGCTGACTTTTTTTTTTTGAGATGAATCCTATTTTTTGTTCTAAAATAAAATTAGCCTAAGTTACTCATTGTAACATCAGCTATTTGCCAGTGAAAGTCCCGTCAAAATCAGTCCAGCCGTTTTGGAGATTAGCCGGAACAAACAAAAAGACAGACAGACTGGCAAAAAATTTAAAAATTGTGTTTTTCCTTTAAGTACCTTATATAATTTCATATGCATTTAGTAAAACAGACACTCCAATTTTATTTATCTGTATAGATCAGTAGCATATTAATTATAATTACTCTAGGAGAAAAGTGTTCTAGGAAAACTTCAACTTATATAAAAATAAAGAAATAAACTCCTTATTTAGGTATATTTTTATTTTTAATTTATAAAATTTAAAAGCTTATTATATATACAATATACATATTTTAATCCTTTATTTTAACATTTTCCAGATTAACATTGACACCGACATTATTGTGTTCAAACATTTTTCCAAACAAAGAGCTGTATAATTCATTTGTACTCTCGTCATTCCATTTCAACGACTTTTCTGGTGCCATATAACTGACTAATTTATTATGAACTACATATTTTATTTTACGTCCTTTTGTAGCTCTGGTATCTACTTTTCTTTTCATTTTACTTCTCATTTGCTGTAACGCAATCCACTGACGACTTAGTTGTATAGGATCTGATATATCAGCTGATTTGCATTCAATAAGTTCCCTAAGGAGTTGGTGATAAAAATCACTGTCGTCAAATATTTCTGGAATATATTCATCATTATCCTTCCTATCTCTCGTGACAGGATTCATTTCAATGTCTTCATGTTTATCCTCCACATTAATTTCTTTTTTATACCCAATAATATCATAATCTGAACGCTTTAACTGAGTTCTACGAATTAATTTATTTCTATCAGACAAAATGTAAGAGATCTGCTGTAAAATAGTATTAGTTGGTGTATTTTTTATATTAGCTGCAGTTGCTATTCTCGTCTTCTCATTCCATTTTTGGATGGTAGCATCTCTAAAATTTTTGAAGGCTTTGTGACATGTGGATAAATCACCCTCATAGTCCTCAAGTTTTCGTTTCTTTTGAATTTGATTATTTGAAATCTTTTGTTTTTTGTTTTTCTCCGAGTTATCTTCTTCCTCAGTGTCAGATGGAATTTCTTCATTATCTGTGTCACTTGGTATTTCTTCATCGCTGTCATTGCTTATTGATTGTTTGGCATCTGGTGTTTGTTTATTATTAGATAACGCTTTTGTTTCAGGGAAATGTTTTAATAATAACTGTTGCAAAGTGAGAAATCTGAAACAATACAACAACAGTATTTGAAATTTAAGCACATTGAATTATCATTATTAGTTTTGCCCATATCTCAACTTTCATTGTAAGCAGGAAAGAAATAAAATCAGGGCCATGCGGTGCTATAATGCAAAGAGGCTGATCCCACAGGCGGCAGAAAATAGGGGCGGCATTCTGTGCTACAAATACCCCAGACTCTCATCCTCAAATAATGTGTACTCAATTTTTTTTTGTAATTTGACAGAGTTGTCTAGCAATCAACATAATATACCTACCCAACTTTCATCAATATACCTCCAATAATCTCAGAGTAATATTACTGTGACATATGGACAGGCAGATGGACAAATTATTTCTGATTTCTGTTTTCCCTTTTAGCTACTGAAAGAAAATCCTAACGAAAATTACTTATGGCTGGCATTTCTTAAACTTGCATCATACTGAGAACATCTCCAGCATGGTCCTGAATTAATGTAGCCTATCTGTGTCCTTATGATACAATGTCCTTGGCAAATTGCATTAAAATCTGTTCATTTAAGAATGAATTTAAGAATGAAAACATATCCATATTTTAAAGCTAACACCAACAAAAATAAAGAGTAAACCACATATCATACTTTACATTTACTTATAGGGATTATTACATCATAAATTAATTATGAATATATACAATTGTAAGAAAGGCGAATGGAAGTTATATATATATATATATATATATATAATATACTATATATATATATATTATATATATATATATATATATATATATATATATATAGATATATATAGATATATATATATAACAGACCCACCCTGGGTATGTTATAAGGAATATAATAATAAGGAGGTATTCCAGCCTGTAAAAAGTTTTCCCACCAAGTAGCTCCTGAGATATTTTATATAAATGTTTTCTAGCAATGGAATATAAAAATATAAACTGAAATAAAAGGAACTTCAATCATTAAGTGAATGTATTTTTATTCCTAAATCAAAAATAATCATCCTATCAATAGTTTCTATTTAAAAACAAGTATACACCTTAATTTAACCTATTAGGCAATTAAGCTTTTGGTGTAACCTGTCCTTCTATTATTATTATTATTAATGTTGGGTGTGGTGCCGAGGTCGGCCCTAGCTACGTCGACCAGTTTTGGTCCATTGTAGCTCCCTTTATAGTGAGTTCAAAGTTCTCCGCTTAGTCCTGTTGACTCCAGGAACTTCCAGATTTTCTGAGCGGGGAGCATCTGTATCTCTTCCGGTTGCATAATATGCTGCCCTAGATAGATACTTCTGCGGTGCATGAGTGGACCGCACGAGCAGAGGATATGCATAGCTCGTTTTCCTCTGTCTCATGGCATAGTCTGCACATTGCGGTCTGACTGAGGCCGAGGGTAAACATATGTTTATTGAGTTTGCAGTGACCAGTAAGTATCCTGGGTTACTGCACTGGTTTTATACTTGTTGAGTTGAAGCAAAACTCTTTTGTAAACTTTTGCGATATCCCTTAATTAGCGCTTTAGAGTGTATTTGTCCAGAAGTGGATTGCCACTCTTGAAGTGCTTGGCGATTGCAGTGAATTTTTGAGAATTGAATAGGCATGTTGTTTGCAATGCCACAGAATGGTTCTGGGCCACAATCTGGGGTTTCAGCGCCCCTTCTTGCCCAATGCATCAGCCTTTCATTCCCATCTATGCCTGAGTGACCCGGGACCCATCTGAGTGTAACTCTGTTGGATTGTGCCAGGACATTCAGATTATCCATACAGTCTTTGACCAACTTAGAGTTGGTCTCAAGGAGAAATCTATAGCCAGAAGTGCTGCTTGGCTATCTGAGTTGATGTAGATATTTTGGTTTCTAAGTCTTCCTCTCCAGGATGACTTCAGCACATTTGTTGATGGCGAAGACCTCGGCTTGGAAGATGGTGGCCTCCTTGCCCAGATTGACACTCATGTCAAATCTAGGCTTAAGGCCATAGATGCCGCACCCTACATCAGATCCTTTCTTGGATCCATCTGTAAACCAAACATGACTGCCCTTTTTTGTGAGGACTCTTGGTTTTTTAGCCACATGTCCCGGTTGGGAAGATCTATTTGGTACTGTTTTGCGAAGTTAAACTCTGTACTCATGCCATCGACTGGCATTTTCAGAGTTTTGTGTTCGAATGTCAACTCCTTGAGTTTGTTCATATATTGCGATTGCAACTTACATTCGATTGTGTACAGAGCCTGTAGAGGCAAGATTTAGCTCTCTTTTGCACGTGGAGATATAGCGGAGCTATGTCCAACAATGCATTTAAAGCGTCGCCTGGTGCCGAGTGGAAGGCTCCCGTGATGATTAGACATGCACTCCGTTGTATGCTGTCTAGTTTACTCATAGTTGTCTTTTGTTTGGTTTTGTTACACCATACGACTGAGGCGTATGTTATGATCTGCCTTACCACGGCGGTGTACATCCAGAGAGCCATTTTGGCTGAGGCCCCACTTGGCTCCAGCCATTCGACAACATATCCAGAGGGCCATTTTGGCTTTTTGTATAATGTGTTGAGGTGAGAGTTCCAGGTCAACTTTTGATCAATAGTGACTCCAAGGTACTTTACCTCATTTGATAGGTTAAGGGTTTTGCCATTGAGTCTGAGTTCGGTCAGCCTTTCAAGCTTCCTTTTCTGGTAAATGGTACAATAACTGTTTTATCAGCGTTTATTGATAACTCATTTTCTCTGCACCATCTTGTGATGGTATTGAGAGCTCCTTGTAACCTGGTGGAAAATTGTGTTCAGGCAGGGACCTCTTACTACTACAACAAGGTCATCTGCATAGCCCTGTGTATCGTAGTCGAGATCTGCCATGATTACAAGTAGTTTTTTTGTTTTTTTTTTTTTTTTTTTTTTTTTTTTTTTTTTTTTTTTTTTTTTTTTTTTTGGTTTTTTTTTTTTTTTTTTTTTTTTTGGTCTACAGCTAGTGTCCATAATAGGGGTGAAAGCACTCCTCCTTGCGGACAGCCTCTTGTAGTGTAGAAGTTTGTGCGAGTGTTCGTTAACGTAACTTTCGCACACCGGTTGGAGAGCATATATTCCACCCATCTGGTGGTTTGTGATATCAACACCTTTTGCATTTAATCCTTTCAGGATGGTTGCCGTAGGTGTGTTATCAACAGGCCCCTCAATGTCCAAAAATGCACATAGAGCTGTCTGCTTATCCTCTAGGGACCTTTCTGCCTTGTCGATCAGAGCTACTAAGGCAGATTCTGTGGATTTACCCTTTTGGTAAGCATGTTGGTTGCAGGAAAGTGGGTCTAGCCACAAGATACCTTGTTCTAATGTGCTGATCGATTACTTTCCATTGTTTTTAATAGGAAGAAGTAAGACTAATAGGTCTAAAGGATTTGGGCTGAGAGTAGTCGTTTTTAACGATCTTCGGTATAAAGGAATAACCTTGACCTTAGTCCATGTTCTGGTATATTGCCCAAAGCAAAGCTTGCTCTAAATAATTTTACCAGATGCGGGATAAGGAGTTCCATGCCCTGTTGAAGCAGAGCTGGAAAAATTCCGTCTTTCCCCTGCTGATTTAAATGGTTTGAATTTTTCAAAGCCCATCTAATCTGGTTAGGCCTAAAAATGGTATTGGCCATCTTCCAGTCGCAACTATTTGCCTCTGTGGATTAGTTTTCCTTTGGGTTTGATTCACTGCCGGTGACAGGGTTACGATCCTGGGAAATGGGTTTGCTCTTAAAAGTTCCAGCGTCTCCATCTCTGTGGTCGTGAAGGAATTGTCTCGCTTTTTTAAAAAGCCGAGACAGATGTTTTGGTGTCTTGGCAAGGACCTTGTGGATTCTCGCTCCTTTATGTGTTGGGCGATATTCTCACAGAATCGTTTCCAAGATGCTCTTTTAGCTTTTCTGATCTCTTTGTGGTATTTAGTCAGAGCTCATTCTTATACCGTTCCCACCCATACGGTGTAGTGGCCTGATTAAATAAGCGACGTGTGGAAACTCTAAGTCGTTCTAGCTTTTTGTTCCACCACGGAGTATTGTTGTTAACCTTAAGTTCCCTGACAGACAGCTATTTTCATAGGCATTTAAGATGCCATCCGTTAATAAGTTGTTTAAATGTTAAGGGAGTCGGGTGTCTGATTGATTTTGGAAAATCCTTAGCTGCCTCAGCGAGCAGGTTTTTAAAATCTACCCACGAGGTGGCTTTGGGATTTCTAAGCCTTTTAGGCTCAGTAGTTATTGAGCCTTGTATGCTAAAGACAATATGTTTGTGATCGGACAAAGAGTTTTCATTACTGACATGCCATTTACTTATGTGTTTAGCGATTGTTCAGTAGCAAAAGTGATATCCAGAACTCCTGCCTAGCTCTAGTAGCGAAGGTTGGATTACAGCCTTTATTAAGTATTTGAAGGTCGTTAGCTAGGAGAAATTCTAAAAGTAACTCACCTCTTTTGTTGGTATCAGTACTTTCCCAGATTGTGTTGATGGGCGTTTGCATCGCAGCCAACAATTAGTTCTGTCTTGTGTTTTCGAGCGTAGTCGACGACTTTAGACAGTTCTTCGGTGGGGTTGGCTTTCTCTCCGGGCAGGTAGGCCGAGCACACAAGTGCTCTAGTTGGACCACGCCCTCTGAGAACGGTGATTGCAGCAACGGTGTCATCACTGCAAAGTTCTGTAACAGGCAAGAAAATTAATACCTTTCTTAAAAACGATACAGGCCCTAGGCTTGGTGCCATTTTCGTTTGCTAGGATCTTACCTACTCCATTTAAGCCCGAAATCTTGGACTTGGCGTTAAGCCATGGTTCCTGGGGACCAGCGCTATATCCATGCCATTTGCCCTAAAACGTGTTTTCTGCCACGGCTGTGCAGCGATAGCGTGGTGTAGATTGGCTTGGAGTATTTTAGTGGGGGCGTCGCCAGTTGGGTGTGAAGCGCTACTGGGGACGGGCACCCATTGCGCTTGTCACTGCCCTTGCTGGGTCTGGGTCCCTTTTGTTTGCGGGGCGCTGGCTCTTGCCTCTGGGGGTTTGTCCACCCCTGGTGTGCCCCCCTGTACGAGGAAACCTGTGCGGAGTACCAGTCGCTCCGCTGGTCCCCGGCCACAGGAGCCACGCCAGGTGCAGTCAGATGGTAAAGGCGCAGCAACGCTGGCGCTTGCTCCAGCAGCCGCGGCCCCAGAACGAGAGGTAGACGTGCACAGGTTCAGAGGGAAGTGTCCCAGGATTCGTTGGCGATCTGGTGTGATGCCCTTAATACGGAACTGGACCCGATTTGAAAGCCCAAATGTAGGCCTTCATGCCGGTTTTTTGAAGGGTCTCAACAGATTGGTCGTCGATGGAGAGGGGTGAGTGTGATCCCGCCCTTCTCCGCCTTCCTATCTGAGAACCTTCCACAGCTCCGTATTAAGGCCATCATTTTGTATCCGGAGGGGGGGGGGGGGGGGGGGGTGGGGGGGGGGGGGGGGGGGGGGGTGGGGTAGGAGAGCGCCTTATTCAACGTCTTTGGCCTCCGGATCGGGAATGTATACCACCCAACCCTTGGTTTGGGCAAGTCGCTCTCATGTAATGAGAGCGAGCTTAGCTCCTGGCCACGGCTGTAAGGAAGGTATACATTTCTCAAGCCATTCCCTGGCATGCTGGTTAGCACAGGTGATGAGTAGCCAACCCCGGCTTGAATGCTAGTCCGCCAAAGGCAGGTCCCTTCCCTTCTCCCAAAGTGGTGATTTGGGCCACAATTGCGTTGTAGAGTGACTGCAGCTGTGCGTCAGTCATGGGAGTGGAGTCCCTCACGCCAACTTTGGAGGAAGATAAGGCCGCACTATAGGCAGCTGGAGGTGGTGGGGCCGACCGGTGCTTCGCTCGACCTTTGGGACTTCCTCGCTGGTTGTCCCTGTGGCGATTCCTCCTCCGAGCGAGTCCTTTTGATGGAGCGCTCGGATCTCGGGTTTCGAACCTCGAAACGATACCCCATAGCCCTGAGTTCCGCAAAGGTTTTAGCGGACAGTTCGTAGGCTTTTGCAGCCTCCACTCCCTGTCCCCTAAGAGCCTTAAGTCGGATTAAGGCTGCCCCACTCAATCTTTTGCGTTTTGGGGGTCCGGGCAGCATCAGAGGAGGTGGCAGCAGGGTTACCAGTAGGTGATTCAGGGCTTGTAGAAGCCCCTATCGCCATTTCGGTGCCTGCAGTCACCTCCATTGGTTGCGCTGACATTTGGGCGGTTTCATCCTCACCCATTGTCAGCGGCATGAGGTCCTGGCACAATTCGTCCAGGGTTTGTGACGTGGTAACGTCATTTACTTTTTTATCTTTTTGGTCCATATTCATTCAGGTCCCACGAGTAGCTAGGGAAATAAAAATGCCCACCGACAGAGCCCCGCATGTCGATGGGAGGACTTAAAATACTACCCGATTCGTCCAGGTGTCGGATAGCCACCGTTAGCGACTGAGCTCCCCCCCAGCCACGCATCCCTCGGCACGGTACGAATAACACCTTGGATTGGGTTCTAAACTAAAGCTATACATATACGTACATATATATTTCATAGATACACTTACATAGACCCTGTCTTTCTAATGATTATATTTAAAAAAAATGTAACCAAGCCTATTTATTATATGTATGTACTTACTGTACATAATATTTTCACACAGAATCAATATCAAAAATATGATCTATCGATTATTGCACTTGTAAGCTAATAATTAAGTTATTTTATAGTAAATAAAAGTCTAAAAGTAAGTAAAAATTGCTTGTGAACTTACTTATCTAACACATTAGTAACATTGCTAATAGCAATAGCACTTTCATCAACAAATTCATTGGATTTTTTAAAATCTTTATAAGTATCAGCCATTGGCATTCTATTGGCAGTATTCATACATCTTTGCATGTGTATTCTCATTTCTAATAAACCTTCCCATAATAAAAGTTGATTTCTGACACAGGTTCCCTTTTTAGCTTCCTCAGAAATATTCTGTTTTTTAACATGCTCAAACTGTTCTTTTATCGGCTCGTCCATTTGACTTATGTCATAACCTTCACCTTCTTCTTCATCGTCAGATTCTTCTTCATCGTCTGATTGTTCATCATTAGAATTCTTGTCTTTTTGATTTTTTGTAATACTGTAATCATCACTTTCGATTTCACTTTCATCATTTAATAATGAACCACCTGATCTTTTTTCTTCATCAGATGAACTATTTTCATGTACATTACCATCTTTTCCTAGCAAGCTATCACTGTCTGTAGTATCTTTTACTAATTCTTTGCGAGATACAACTTCACCTTCATATTTCTTACTAATTTCACTTAATAAATGTACATTTCTCTTTCTGAAATCACTAATTACAGCTTCATCTTCACTGTCTGAAGAGCTAAAGTCAGCGCGTACAACGGTGCTAGGTTTAGTTTGAAATATTTGATCATCTTCAATATCAGCCCGTGGTCTTACAGTTAAAGCATCAGCAATCTTATCTGATAAAATCAGTTTTGAAGATTTCTTTTGCTTAAACTTCATTTTAAATAAAATATGCTGTTATTTATGCTAAAAATATAAAAATAACCAAACATTCAGGCTAAATTAAAACTAATGACTAAAACGTGCATTTGACATTGATTGAAATATGACGGAATTGGATGAACTTTAGTTAGTACACAGATAGAAGACAATGTAGGCTACATCCGAGTGAAACAAGAATAGCGACTATACAATAAATTTCAGAGTCGAATCTGTAAATATTTTTTTATAAATTCTTATTGAAATATTCATTATTATCAATACAGAGGTCGAATCTATAGTTTTTAAATTTTTTGTCTATCTGTGTCTCGCATCACGAGAAAGCCATTGGACAGATTTTGATGAAATTTCTCATCTATGAGAAATCTATACTAACCGTTAAAACGCATCTAGGGACTTTTATTTGTCATTCATGCTAGGGACGAACATGAGTGGAGCGAGGGTGAATCGCTAGTCTTTCATAAAATGATGATTTATGAAAGATTAGATTAGATAAATTATTATTTATATTTATGTGGCACGTAGTATTTACCATAAAATATATTACCAATAGATAGGTGGTTAAAACATTTTAGTGAAATAAAAGCAGCTGAAATAAAAGTTGACTTAGTATAATGTTTTCAGTGTGCTTAATTATGAAAAATATAAGATTTTATATATTTGCATTCTTTCATCTTTGGTATTTATTTTTTTGGCTAGCAACACAATAAAAGCACGACATTTGAAAGCATTTTGAAAGCGGCAAAATTGACAAATCAATTAAATTTTTTAACTGAAAGATTTAAAAACTAAGTCCTTAGAAAATATTAATAATAAGACAATGCCAAGGAGAAAAATAATTCCTAAAGCCGTAACTTGGCTTAGCGAAGAAATATTGCCTGAACAAGGATTAAGTAATTCCTTTCATTACTACCAGTAAGTAAAACCACTATTTATTTTTTCTTTCATATATAACTGATTTTAGAATAACTTTCACGTTTGTAGGAAATTTCAATTTAAGGACATAATTGCCGAAGTAGGTGATTTTGTTCTGGTATCTAATGCAGATGCAGCTGAACCTGATACTGAAGGAGGATGTGATGCTGCTAGAATTCTTTCACTCTATGAAGACAGGTCTAACAACAATGACCCGTTTAGAGCCAAAGTCCAATGGTATTCCAGGCCTTGTGATTTGCCTAAGGAGTGTCTTAATAACTGTGATGGTATTAGCTTTAAAAATAGAGAGGTAAGTTTTACTTAATTTTTTCGAAAAGTTGATAAGGATGAGAATAGTTGCAGTAAATATTAATGTGACTTTTTTTCTTATGCTGCCCCTTTAATGCGGTAATCAATCATGTGGTAAGGATTAAGTAGTCACAAGTAAAATATTTAAAATGTATTTGCTAGCTATACTTACTATTATATCTATTTTTTAAAGGTACTAGAAGATCATCGGCCATTTGACACTGATATATCAATTGAAACAATTTTCAAAAAGTGGCACATAGTATTTACTGTTACCAACGATTCCTATGATATATTATATCCTTGTCAGTATGTCTGCCGGTACAGGCTTATGCCCATTGGTAGAAGAAAGTTCAATATTGAGCCAGTACTTGAAGAAGAAAGGAAAGCCATACAACTTTTAGCTACTCCTAGTAAAAATATTAATTCTCCAAAACCTATAACTCCTAAAACACCTAGTACCTTAGTTAAAAGAATGAGTAGAGTTTCAATATCAGAGAAAAATTGGAGTGTCACTAAAAATGATGGGACAAAGCTTTTACTTAAAAGAGCTATATTGGCTGACAAAAATGATAAAGATTCCCCAAAAAAGCTTACACCAAGAAGTTTGAAAACGACATCAGCTGTTGAAACTCCAAAAAGTTCTAAAAAACTAAATCAAAATAATCTTGAAGAAATATTATCAATGGAATTAAAAGAAAATTCAGATGATGAACTACCAACATTGATTATAAGACAACACACACCTTCCACACCTAAACGTAAGACACCTCTGCGAAAAATAAGTGATGAAACTCCAAAGAAAATGTTAGTTTTTGAAGATGATGACGTGGATAAAGAAATATATGCAACAAGATCAGGAAGAGTTACAAGAAATCCTAGGTATCATGAAGAAAATGTGTCTCCTGTTAAACAAACTTCAAGAAGAACTCGTAAAGAGAGTATGGCAGATAGTGAAGAAGATATCAAAATTCCTAAAACACCAAAAGTTCCCAAGACTCCTAGGACTCCTAGAACTCCTAGGACACCCAAAACTAGAACTTCTGTAGTTAAAACACCTAGAAGTGTGTCTAAAAGAATTCTAACCAGTGAACTCACACCAACTTTACATAATAGAGCTCATTCAGTTGACAATATTGATGGTTAGTTGTATTTATTTACAAAGTTAAATTTTTATTTACTTGGTTAATCATCTTATGTTTATACTTTTAGTAGCAACATTTCCCACAAATTGAATGCAGTGGAATATTTTTTTTGCTTCCAGAATTTTTATCAGAAAACAAGTCATTACCAGGAAGAGAGAACCAAATGCATGAGATTTTATCATTTGTTAGAAGTAAGCTGTTGCATGGAATGAGTGGGTATGATGATTTTTTATATGAAATTATATTTATTAATTACTATATACTAGCGACTCACGCTTGCTTCGCTCGGGTTTGTCTCTAAGTATTAAAATGGATATAGTTTGTTATCCTTAAGAGAAAGACATATGCCGTTGCAGACTTTTCTGTAGACCTATATAAGATACACAATTCCACCATACATTATTTTCTTATATCTCAAAGGGTTTAGGCAGCGTTTTCATTGAAAGCTCCTAGACGGCTTATTTGTTCCGCCACCTCCAACAGCCTTTATATTTTAGCCAGTTTTTACATAAATTTTACTAATTATATACTAAAACCTTCTTCGAGAACCACTACCCATTGGTGAAAACAGCATGAAAATCGGTGTAGTAAATTTTGAGTTCATCGCGAACAGATAGACAGACGCGAACAGATAGACAGACGCGACAGAGGACTGTTTTATATATACAGTAAAAGCTCCTTATTCGCGCTTACACCGAAACCGAACGTGAATGAGATGGTGATTTGTATGGAAATGTAGGGGTTGCGTCCCTCCCCCCTCCCCCCCCCAACGTGCGTTTACCTTGTCGTGGTGGGGGGGCTCAGTAGTGCCCGGCAACCCAACCGGGCGCGAAGCCAAGAAACGCACAGGGAGATGGCCCACTTCGGTGGGCGGTGGGAGGTGGCCCTCTTCGGAGGGCGGTGTACCATGCGGGTTGCTCCTGGTACTTCTCTGATAGCAGAGTGGACCTTGGAGCAACCCCGTGGTTGTTGTGGTCTGCTTCGGCAGACCTGCCGTCGGGGCGTCGTAGTTGAATGCGTAAGCGATCCTGCATCCTGAAAAGGGGTTGCGTTCCAAGGTAATAAAAATATATATGTAATAAATTAATAAAAAACTCGTAAGTTATGTATTTGCGAATAACGAAATTTTCGGCCGCTATACACGAAGTGGGTCTCAAATTTTTCTTTCGCGAAAGCCGAAACCGCGAATAAACAGCTTTTACTGTAGTGATTTAGATATTAAATAGCTCAACGGTAAATAAATTTTTCGATTTTAAATTTGTTCTTGTTTTTTCAAAGAAGAAAAATAGTATATACTTTATTAATTTTGGTGTATAATTAAAAAGTTGTGAATTTGAAAATAAAAGGATAAGAACTAGTCGAATTTAATCTCTAAAAACTTTATAATAGATCAAAATATTAAAATCTACCTTAATTCCAAAGTGATGAAAATATTCTCTAAATTTTAGGTGTATGTACATATCAGGTGTCCCCGGGACTGGAAAAACTGCCACAGTGAATACAGCCCTGAAAGTGTTGAAGGAAGAGCCAGATTTACCTGAATTCCAGCTTGTTGAAGTGAATGGCATGAGAATAGCTGAGCCTAGACAGGCTTATGTACAGATATATAAACAGCTTACTGGTAAGAGCTTATAATAAGAATCGAACCAGTCAAGACTACTATTGTATTTTTATTTTTACCCGACTGCGACGATACCATAGAAGGGTTATGTTTGACCTGTATGTATGTCCGACCCTATATTCCCTCTTAATTACTAAACAGCGAAACCAATTTTGATGACCCATACGTCGAGATTTGTCTTGATAACGCGAGTGTAATAGGATATATAGGTATCATTAAATATCAAAATGTTATGCGATAAACATAATCTTAGGCGTAATTCGTGTCTTGAAAATTTTTTTTCAACTGAATCAATTCAAGGGGGTATCAAAATACAAAGTTTTAAGAGGCAATCTAAAAAGATGAGAACAATTTGCCTAACGGCTAAAACTAGTATAAAACATGTAGGTCTCCGACTGCATGATTTTTCGTCAACTAGTTCTCACCTCATTAGTTCCCTATTTCAAATTCAGGTTTTTTAAGCCTTATTTTATACTTAAAGGTTATAAGTGCCTGGGCAATCGAGCGTCTGTGTTTTTTTTTCAGAAAATATTTTATATAGACAAACTTAAAAGCAAAACCTTATCAAAATACAAAATTTCATCCAAATCGTTAAGAGCTTTTTCCAGGATACATAAAATTTTGTATATATACAAGAATTGCTCATTTAATATTATAAGATTTATTAAGTGTATTTTAACTATTTTTTTCAAAGTTTATTTCTCAATTATAAATATTATTTCTGTTTTCTGTGTTCTATGCTTAATGTAAAATACTGATGATTCTATGGACTTCTTGTCCGAAATATTATTATTATTATATTGTGCTGCACAAATTAAAATACACTGGGTTGATTGAGTGACGTGTTTATTTACAGGCAAGTCAGTAGTATGGGAGCAAGCATGTTCACTTTTAGAGAAGCGTTTTACAAATCCTGGACCAAGAAGGACACCAACTGTGCTAGTTGTTGATGAGGTGACTTGTTTTTTTGTCCCTTTACTTTTTATAATTAGACAACATAAATAAATCTATATACATATATCCATCCTGGATTTTTGAGACGGGACAGTAAGGGTAGGTACCGTAACTGCTATAGTTACAGGAAAATGTTCTTAAGAGACCATCCATAATTTTTTGAGATATTCTGAACTGCATTCACCGATTTTGAAAAAAATGTACAGTCAGTAAAAAAAATACAAAATTTTTTTATGTCAATAGATCCTATTTCATGTAGCGATCAAAAGACTATGGGAACATTTAATATAAGAGTACTAGAAATGACAAATCGCCAAAAACTTTTATTTATTACCCATACATTTTGTACAGAAAAACGATTAATCAAATAGAAATATTCTTTATTGCCAAACGGTCCTATTTCTTACTGCGATCAAAAGACTCTGAGACCAACTAAAGTTTAAGTACAGAAACTATGGTAAGTCACAAAACCGCGTTAACACGCAGGCATTTTATGCAGCAGACATAAGAAAAAATTTTCAGTTTTTGTTAAGCCAGTCTCGTGACATACTGTACCTAGAAGCAAAAGTACCTACCTAAGTAGAAAATCATAGCACCTGCGCCTGATCCCTCTTGTATTGGGAGGCCAACCTCCAGCAGTGGGACGTTAAAAAGGGTTGAATACTTACAATATATTGTTATGCAAACGCAGCTGGACGCGCTATGTAACCGTCGGCAAGACGTGCTGTACAGCATCATGGAGTGGGCGGCTCACGCCACGGCGTTGCTGACGGTGCTCGCGGTCGCCAACACCATGGACCTACCGGAGCGGGCGCTTGCGGCGCGCGTGGCCTCCCGACTTGGCCTCACGCGTCTCACCTTCCCGCCCTACTCGCACACACAGTTGCAGTGCATCGTGGCCACGAGACTTGCTGGTGCCAATGTGACTGCTGATGCTGTTCAGCTGATCGCTAGGTGACTGTTTGATTGGATTTTTTTTATATTGGTTTCTTTTGATAGGGTTATACATCATTTGACAGGGGATTGTCTTGTCTCCTATCATACTCAGCTGGAGTGCGTTATGGTCACCATTCAATGTAACAGTCAGATGGGTACTGAGCTTCTCAGCTAAAAGCAAGCTGATATTATTTACAATTAGCAGAACCGGTGCACAGATGTTGTCATTGCACAAATTTAGTTGCCGAAAATAAAAAAAAACTGAATAACAGCGCCATCTACCTGTTTCTTCTGGTAAAAACTATCCGGGTGATTTCCATAAGTACAGAAATAAAATCATTAAAATCGAACATTTAGCCGTTTAGAAGAAAAAAAAATGCTATCATGCACACACCTGAATTTTTTATGATTATATGCAGCGGAAATGTATTAAAAAAACTCGCTGGTGCTAATGTTACAGAGGAATCTGTTCAATTTATAGCCAACTATTGAGTCGAGTTTTAGGATTCTGTACCGGAAGGGTGCCAACGGGACCCTATTATTAAGCTACCCTTGTCCATCTGTGTATCAGCGGGCTGTATCTCATAAGCCGTAATAGGTAGAGAGTTGGACAATTTCAAAATAGCAGCTATGTAAATTTCAAAAAAACGGCTAGTACATAGTGTTATATCTTGCATGATGGCACCCTTCGTGTGCGACTCCGACTCGCACTTGACCGGTATTTTTTTTTAATTATTGATCCCCGCTACTTCTCAAAAATGTATACTGATGATATTATATAAATACTGTTATTATTCTACATTGCAGGAAAGTAGCAGCAGTATCCGGAGACGCGCGTCGTGCGTTAGCCCTCTGCGCGCGCGCTCTGGAGATAGCCGGGTCCGAGTGCGCAGGGCTGGGGACAGTGCAGCAGGCTCTGGGTGAAGCGGCCTCCAGTGCGGCCGTCAGGGCTATACGCAACTGTTCACCGGCTGAACGGTTGATGTTGAGGGCTGTGGCTGCTGAGGTGACTTGTTATATTCTACACTAATATATAGAGCTAAAATTTGTAGGGGGTTATGTTGGAAACTTCTTACCCGGTTCTGAAAATTCTAAGCAATTTTTTTTCTGATAAAAATGTGTAATCATATGAAAAAATGTCAAATTGTAATAATATTAATTGATGTCGGATTAAATGGCCGTTGAGTTACTTTATCGACTGTTGTTAGGCAGCTACGAGGGCTTCCGAGCGAAGCGATAGAAAGCCTTTAAATATTAACGAAACTCGTTTTTGGAAATGCTTCTATGGCCAAAAATTTAATTGACGAAATTCGAAAAGATAGTTTTATTTAAATTTCAAATATTCGCGTATTAAGAAAGTAAAAAAGAAGAGTTAATATTAGGAACTTGCTTGGCTTTTACAATCAAATTATAAAATTTATTAAACAAATTAATTACACACACACACACTTCTGCTATAGCTTAATTAAAAATAATAGATAAAAATTCTTTTAAAAAACAAGTAGTTGAGATTATAATATAGAAAGAAGATATGCTCGAAAACGTTATTTTCGGTAACATTTCATCAATGTAGTGTGTGTAAACTCGAAATATACATATGTACACATTTTTTTATAAACCTGAACTCTTGACTTTTTGAAAGTCAAATTTGCCTCCACTAATAACTGATCTAAGTATTCACTATATGCTATGAAAAAATAAGTTTAATGAGAATATCTTCTTTATAACAGGTGGAAAGAACAGGAACAGACGAAACAACCTTGTCCCGAGCTCTATCTACTGCAGCAGCCATCGTCGCGTTGGACGGTCGACCCTACAGATCTGCACCAAGTATCCGAGCACCGACACCCTCACAAGCCCACACTATATGCGCCAGATTGGCAACCATCAAGCTACTCTTAATGGAACCAAAACCTTCGGAACCAAGGCTACTCCTAAATGTTAGTGCTGATGATGTCCATTACGCTACTAAACAAATAAGTGTTTGAAATTGTCCTTTTTAACACCCCACTGCTAGGCTCGAGCCTCCCTTCAATAAGAGGAAGATCAGACCATAGTCCATCACGCTGGCCAAGTGCGGATTGGTGGACTTTACATGTTTGTCGAAAACTTGCTAAGTTCTCTCAGACATGCAGTTTTTCTCACGATGTTTTTCTTTACCGTAGGAAAAGTGGTAAACATGTTGGGAATGATTCACACTTGAAAATATCATAGGTGTGAAACTGGGGATTTGAACCCGCTTCACTCGATTTCCCAATTCAGTGGTTACCACTGCCTATATGTGTTAATTAGTTAACTAAATTTATTATTAAATAAATAATAAGGTGTTTGTTTTGAATGTTAAATGTTCTTTTCAATAATTGTATTACATTTGAGAGATTGAGATTCTTTTTTAATTTTTATCTATGGCAAATGGCATAACGCAATGACGCGAGTCACGTCTGCTTTGATTTTATTTGTCTAACATATTATAAGTAAACTCAACTCTATAGAAATATGTGTGAAATTAATACGTAAACTACAATAATTTTCAGATCATATTAATGTTCGGATGGTTGACCTAATTTATGGTGTGTAAAATAACACAGTTTACAACATTTTATACTGTAAATATATTCAAACTCTATATGAGAGGCATAAAACCAAATCTTAGTCTAGCCTATTACAGGTACCAGAGATACCTTATTTTTATTTTCGTGCTTGTTTTTTTTTCTTGATATTTCATCAAGCAGGACTTGTGTAAAAAAGGCTATTTTATATGTTGAAGACTAAGTACAATTTTATTTTAATTAGTTTTATTTTGTCTTAAAAAGCATCACAATATGTACAATATTTAATTAATTGGATATCTAAGTAACACTATCTTTTCCAATTTTTTCGCAGATATATTTTAATTTTTGATTCCCGACGTTTCGAATGCTTTACAGCATCATTATCACGGGAGAGACTCGAGAGACGGGATTTTATTTAAAACGTCTAATATTTGCGTAAATATAAGGTAGCTTTTTAGATTAAAATGGAAATACATGTTTCAATTTTCTATGAAAATAACAATTTAATTTTATTAAAATTTATTAATTCAAATATTATCAATACACTAAATATTACAATTTGACTCATGTACTGTTTTATTTTAAGGAAGTGATGATTTTAGTTAGTTAAATTATTTCTCATAATATCTTTTATTTATGTATCACCCACTTGTAGTATCTTAACTAAGGCTTCAATATTGTTATCTGTTACTGCTTTTCTACAAGCTGTCACTACTGCTTTGCTGTATTTTCCAACTGAAAATGAAATATATTAAATGGTCTTATTTAAAATTCAAATTGTTTTAAAGATTTTTGAAGTTATACTTCTTTTGGCACGTTTGGAAAAAACTATGAGAGTAAAATTTGTACGATGCGCGCGCGCACCATCAACCTAAAAGCGACATGATGAAGTTAGCTGCATTACAAACGGAGAGTTGTATCGGGATCAAATCTTTAGCTATTTTTGTTCTGTTACGCTAAAGAAGTATAACTTCTTACATGCGTACATAAGTACACCCGCACGTTTTTTGTTTTGCTGTCGCTGTTTTAGTTTACCTCGTAGTCTAGCTGCTTGTTGCAAAATAGTATGAAGATTTTGAAGTGACGCCATCGCTTGCTCTTGCGTGGCGCGACGCACGTGACAACTCGTTAGCAACTCTTCGTTTAATAATATCACTTCTTTGTATCTATTTAACATCTCTTTCCTAAAAATGGTCTCTAATGTATTTTAACTTTTTATATATAAATTGCTAATTCTTAATATTACCCAGTGATGTGCCGGATAGATTATAAATATATATCCGCGGATACGGATAGGTACGAATACCGATAATTATTCATTAGTCTCAAGATCCGCGAATATGGATACGGAGCTCATATAACTAGCTCCTTATCGTAAACATTCAAACATTTCATTATTTTTTTAATAAATATACCATAAAGATATAAGGCTTGTTTGTAACTCACTACAATAAAAGATGTAATATTTACCTTGTGCAATACAAATATGCCAAATACATGATTTTAATAAATAAATAATAATTTAAATGGTATTCCAAAGTGTTTCATTGCTACCTACTCTTCGAATTTCATTCATTTCAATAGTTTATAAAATTTTCAATCAATTATATAAAAAAATCCAATTAAGATCCGCCAAAAAGTAACGGGTATGGATAAAGGTCTTTTTTCTACCTCAGACATCCATCCGGTGCATCACTAATATTAACTTATAAAAATACGTAATACGAGCGTTTTCCAACGGCTCCGCCCACCGTCTACATTTTTATAAATTATAGCCTATAATCTGAGTCATATATTGCTGTAAAGATTCATCAAAAAATGTTCAGTAGTTTTTGCATTAAAAAGTAACATATTAATATGGATGTTCCATATATCCTTACAAACTTATGTTTATAATAAATATTAGGAGGATGAAAATGTTAACAGTAGTAAGTATATATTTTACCTACAGTCCAAATATTTGGCCTTTAGTTTCTTTTTTATTAATTGTAAGGAATTTTTTTTTTATTTAATAGAGGTAAATTAGAATCGAGTATAGTAAAAAATAATAATATAATTGTTTTGAATTCCTCATGAAATTTACTAATTTGGCTATATATATTTAAAGTACCTACAAGTCAAAGCTTGCTGCATCTTGAGCCGCAGGTAACAATGCTGTGATAAGTTGAGCTTTTTCAGCTGTTTCAACAGCTAGCCTTTGTCTAGTATCACCTATTTCCGAAACAATGGTCATTTCCTGTCGTAATTTCTCTTCTGCAGCTGGGAATCGAGCTGTTGACTGCAATTATTTTACTTTATGAAATATACCAGAAAAATAATATTAATTTTTTATTATAGATCTATATCAAAATAAGCTTAGATAACATTTTTTTATGTAATTAAAAAAATGGAGTATAATTAAAACTATGGATTATTTTAATAGTTTTATTTATTCTTATAAAAACACAGTTATTTAATGGTTATTGACCATACAGTTCAACAAATCCAACACATTTAACGGGATTAAAGAAGAACATGTTGTTATGAGGAGGTTCACGCTGACTAACAGCTTTCACTACTTCTTGACCTATAACACCACCTACTACTGCTGCAGCACCTGACACTATTCCAAATACATCTGTTAACAAAGCATCACTTATAAATCCAACAGGCAAAGAGAGCTCTTTCACAAGTTCATCGCGCATTCGCAATAATATTTCAGTATCAGCTTTCCTTTTAGCTGGATCAGGATTTCTATTGTACTCATCCCTAAATCTTAAGAGGATCTTCATTACAAAATAAGATGGATCCCCACGTCGCAATCTTGAACGTAATTCAGGTTTTGACCAATCAGCAGACAGAGCATTTTGCAATGGCACATAAATAGCTCTGCGTTTCACAGTAATACTGACAGTTTCTCTAGCATTTTTCTCGGTATCGTCAGGACCGCGTTTGACAGCTTTGTGTTGAACAATTTCTTCAGAATATTCATGATCGATTAAATCAGCGAACATATAGCCAAACATACCCCAAACATCGCCACATAAAAATTTACGGTTACTATCACGGCAAATATTATTAATACGTTCTAGTTGTTCCTGCTTTAATCCAGTTGCGCAAACGATATCAAATGTCGTAAAATAACTATCAGGTAAGTTATCGACTGCCTTTGTCTCAGCAGTAACGTCTACCATAGGGTTCAACGCTCTTGCTCGTTGTAATGATGTTTCCGCTCTATTCTCCCCAATTTTATCAGGTGGAGCCAGAAACTGTGAGTATAGATCTGTCTCTTTTAGTTTTTCATCATCTAACAAGCATACACTTTTGACGCCGGAAAGAATTATGTTTTTAGCAATTTCGGCACCCAAACCAGACAACCCGATGATCAAAACTTTTGAAGCTCGCAACCTTTTTTGAGATTCCAATCCCCATAAACGGATTTGACGATCATACTGTTCTGCTTCAGCTTCAGACAACTCAACTTCGTTATTTTCAACCATTTTTGCCAAATAAACCAACTTTTGATTAGAATTTAACACTTGCCGCTTCGGGAAAGCTTCTGAATTATTTAATCGTGACAGGAATGACAGGTAAGCCGTAAGCCTAAAACCACGCTAAGTGAAGAGTTGGCTGCACCCAGATGTAGAATATCGGTATTTTTTTAAATTTTTGATAATTATTGAATAATAATAATTTATGGTCTATTTTATTATTTTAAATAATGTATTTTTAAAATTAATGAGTGTTAATATTCATAATCATAATAGAAAGACTCAATACTAAGACACAAAAAGAGTAAATCGATATTATAAATAGCCTGCATAATATACGTCCCTATCTCAATAATCGGATACACGCAAAGAAATATTACCTATTTTAATTGAAAAATTGTGCTTGCACTTTCTATAGTTGAAAATGTATTAATTAAAATTATATATCTTAATAGTATATTATTTCTGACAAAGTAGGTATGAATATTAATGATATCATCAAGGACAAGGCTTCAGGCTCCGTTCTAGACTGACATTAACATGGGCAGACGGCAGTGCTGGCAAATATTACTCAACACTCGACTAAATATTTCAAGTAATAAAATACAGAGTAGTACGGAGATTATCTATAAACTTTTCACTTTAAGTATTATACTTATAATAAAAATGTATAGGTTTTGCCGTTAGTTTTTTTTAATTGACTGCGGTGTAGCCCAAAGGAGGGTTATGTGTTTGACCTATATGTATGTATGTACGGTACTATGTTCCCTCGTTATTACGAGGGAACATAGAACCGGACATATACCGAATATATTACCATTAAGTAATTCATTAACGGTGTAACTCAAATATTTTAAATTGGCTTTAAATCAAATCGCGATTAATTAACACGTCGTTGAATTCATCTTGTAACGCGAATGTAATAGGACATTATAATATATCAAAATCAAAATAGTCCATTAGAGGTGCCAATTTGTGTGTTTTGAAAAAAATATATATTTTCAAGTACATAATACTATTTCCTATCGTTAACTTCTAGCTATATCCCTCCTTTTTAGTTCGCTTCTTACGCAGTCGGATTTTCTATTTTTATGATATATTTTTTGAAGTAATCTTACTTAAAACAGAAAAGTCAACCAATCTGTGTGTTCTTTTCTTCTTTCTTAGTGACGATTAAAACAACTTACGGACACTGCTGGCGTAAATAATATTTTTGTCGTAAATAAATAATTTAAAATAAGTATTTCATGAAAATAAGGAATCTTTAAAATTAGAACCTATTTAAAGAAACCAATTTGCGGATGAAACCACGGGTAATAATTAGCATACTTTATAATTTTAATCTTCAGTAATAATATAATTTTTATACGAGTAACATATTGATTTTAAAACATACCTGCAGATCAGTCAAATTTAGATATATTGCTAAGCTCTGTATCAGATTACCAGCGAGCATTATATCTTGAGTCGAAAATTTTACTTTGCCATCTGATCCAAAATCTAAATTGAGGCGTGACTTATCCCTTAGACATAAAAAACTGATATGTAGTTCACGCATTTCATCGTTATCTAGCTCAATTTCGTCATCTACGAGGAAATTTTGATTTACCCAAATGCAAATTCTCTGAATTCTTTCAGTTATTTGGAATGTAACATAGCTTTCATTGTTGGTTTTTATTATAGATGACTCAACTAACACATACATAGCAAATCGAGGCAACTGTTTTGTGAGTTCAAAAATATGAAATTGCTCGCTGTCGGCATAACCCACTAAAGTCTAAAAAAATGTTGTATTAATAAATATTTGGAACTATGATATTTAATTTTATTCCAACTATAAATACTACCTTTATGTGGACATCAACTGACACATCCCGCGGAGGCTTTAAAGGTATATAAAGTATAGACTTTAATTGTCCTTGATCAGGATGTCTAGCCAAAGTCTCACCAGACTCGAAGATACCTTCAGCTAACACTAAAGCAGCTCGTACAATAGTTTCATTATTTGTTGATATTGCCAGCTGAAGGCACCCCTAGATGAAATATTTTATAATAAAAATCTTCTTATATCATAATATTATATGAATGTGTATAAATAATATCGTAAATTTGCTAACTTCTTCTGTGTCGGCTGCTACAGCTACTTGTAATCTTGTATTTGTGGGCATGGCAGTATTTGACATCTCTGGTTCTTGATTGAGACTTGCAGCATTAGCTTCATAATGCTGTAACTCTACCATTAGAGCCTGTTTTTTGTTTAATAGTTCTGTAACTGCTAATCGATCTTCCTCTGAAGGAAACTTATTAGAAATTGTGTTCGAGCTTACATTTTCTTGATGAGGAGGATATCCTAACACTGAACACAAAATAAATGTGATTTAAATACTTAATCTAAGTTAAAAAGTAATTATAATCAGACGCATTTATAAAATAGTAAAATCTGTTTTCATTTTTTAATTACCTTACAAAACTTACCTTCTCCTTTATCTGAAATACAAACAAGGTCTGGTATACCAGTTAGTCGATAATCAGCAAGCAACATCGCTGCGCCATTTGAACGCATCTGTACACGATGTAAAACTCGTCCAGTATCATCTCTCCAATCTATTCTACCATTGGTCCAGCAACATGCAAGTTTATCTCCAGACCATTGAAGTGAAATAGCGTTTTGCTTAGACTATAATAATAAATTAGGCAATATATACTAAAACTTAGTATTTTTAGTGCGGAAAAAATTATAACTTTAAAGCAAATATCTTACCTTAACTCTCCATAATCTAATACCTTCTTCATAAATACCTATAGTACCATTTGCTAATCCATAGGCAAACCTTACTTCACTAATTTGAGATAAACAAAGGACGGGACCTGTTTCAGCGAGTTCCATAATAAATTGATTATTCTTCAATACTCTTATGTAAGAATCCTCACAGCCAATTAGTAACTTAAAAAAATAGGTATAGTTTTATAGCAAAGTTAAGCATGCAGCTCCATGGAATAGTTTTATAAGGACAGCTTACGAATCTATCGAACGGAGGGCTAACTCATTAAATGGGAAAAAGGTTACCTCATTTTCGCCGTCCTTGTCAAAATCAAAAGTAATCATTGCGCAAACTTTTCCGCTGACAACGTTCCAAAATATTTCATCCCCTTTTGAATTAAGCGCAAGCACAGAGCTGTTACCGCCAACTATTACCAGCATCTCATTATATTTACCAAAATGACTCACAATAATAACATTAACGCCGTCTTGAGCTTCTTTAAAAAATAGATCGGAGTTGTCATGAACATCATACGCTGGAAGTTTTAACCATAATTTAAATTAAAAGTAATGTTAACTAAGAAATGCTTTTTAAAGTAGGCTCATAAGTTTTATGTTACCTAAAATTTGTGTTGGGGATCCGATAAGAAGAATATCTCTGTTACATTCAGGCTTTATTTGGCCTGCGGTTAAAGCTATTACTGCTTGACTAAGGTTTAATTCGGAGACCTCTCCATGAGCTTGTGACCGTTGAGCTCGACCACTTATCATACCACCATGAGGATGGTGAATTATAATCTAATAAATAACGATGATAAAAATTAAACATGAACTTTAAGCTTACATATTATCTGTATTACGAATTAAACAAATTTATTATAACAAAATATTTGAATAAACTTTATACTTTATTTATTTTATAACTTTACTAATGAGTTATCATATTTCTAAAAGCATTTATGAGTAAAGTCGTTTGTATTTAAGTTTCGAATATTTATTGACCGCGTACTTTATCATATCCGGCTGATGCTGTAAGACAAGAATGAGTCCCATCATATTTTGCAATTGTAACGATACCAGGTGTAACTTTATGATTCAATTCAAATTTGAATACTGGTTGTGCGTTAGATAGTTGCATTTCAAAGTATTTATTATTATAATAAGTTTACGGGTTAAACGCTTTAAACACTATACAATGTTGATATATGTGTCGTCATAGAAACTAACACTGTAAGATTGAATAATCATTAAATATCACGCTATTTACATTTTGATGATTGCAATGATCATTAATTATATTAATTATATCGTTAATTAAATTATAAACAGAAAATAATGTGTCATAAAAGCTTAATTTGGAAAAAAATATTTCAATAGCCGAATGCTATTGAAATGCTATTGAAAAAATATTTCAATAGCATTTAAACATAGATCCTTTTTATGCTCGTATGCTTATCGGAAACATCATTTAAATCCGACATAGACGAGTCTGTCCCTGTTTTCCAATTACAGAGCATAATGCCGTACTTTGGCGCACAATGCCAAAGTGTGCTAATGCTTAATTGGAACGTGAATTCGTTTTCAAGTGCAACAGCAGAGGGCACTAAGTTGAGTGTTGAAAGAAAAAATATAACTAACATGCGTAGCATCTATCTATAGTTTAAGTAACTAATTAAAACATATCGTCGATATTATAAATTATATGATAAGCTAGCGACTCACCCTCGCTTCTCTCGGGTTCGTCCCTAGCTTGCTTCCCAATACAAACTTTCATCCCCAATTTTACCCCTATGGGATGATTTCTGGGATAAAAACTATTCTATATCCTTCCCAGGGTCTCAAATTACCTTCTTACCTTTCATCTAAATCGGTTCAGTATATCCAGAGATTACCCTCTACAACGTCACAAGCTCACAAAACTTATCTCTTCGCAATATTAGTATCGATATATAATAATATATAACCTTGAAAAAAAACATTTCTCATATTTTCTGTTATTGAGTTGGTATCCTTGCGCACATAAAGCCCAAAGCAGTACTTTTCAAAATGCTCGATTGAGTGACATTGCTGTAATTGGAACATCCGAAGTTAGCATTATACCGCATAATGCACTTTAGTGCTCTAATTGGAAAACAGGGTGTCTATCCATCGGATTTCGGCAGCTCGCGAAAAATCTCGTCACGTACGAGTATAAACTACGTTGATTTTCTAAGATTATTGCATCTCTATAAGTTTAATGATTTTAGGGCCTATGCACAACACGTTTTGTAAACGTATCTAAATCGTCTACAAACATACTACTCTGATAAAATTTAAAAAATGCAGATTACTTGAGTTTGTATTGATATAAACGCATAAGAACTGAGGTCTGAGACACGTTGACTATGCGTTAACACTTAATTTCGTGTCGAACGCTCAACGCCCGTACTCAGTTACTCAGTAGCGCCTTAAGAAGTTGTCGAGTTACAGGCTATTATTTCATTTTCAATTACAAATTGATTAGATTAATCTTTTAAAACATACAATCTATGTAAAATTGAGCAATATTTTTCATGCAGTTACAATTACACATTTTTAAAATACAATATGTTTTTTATTAATTATAACTGAGAATTATTAACTGAGATGACTAGTTGTCAATTCAGATTTTAGATTGTCATTTGACATTTGTCAAACTTCTAAATGACTTTAGGTTCAGACTAGAGTTATCTAAAAATTTGCACTTATATTTCGTAAATGCGGAAGAAACTCTATTGTTAAATTATTTGGAAAACCGTTTTCTTATTTGCTCTTAAATATTATGTTTTAAGAATTTACAATCTAGCCAAATGGAAAGTGAACTGAATATTGAAACGACAGGATCCAGGTTATTATTTTGAGATTACTTCTATAAAATAAAAATTACATATTGCGCAATTTCATCTATTGTTATTATTTTAGTCTTTTAAATATACGTATAATTGCTTCTGTAATTCCTAGGTTTACAGATCGCATTACAACATAATTCACCTGTAATGCCTGGAATTATTTCATGTTTTTATACTCGGATTCATTATATTTTTCCACTTATTCATCATATCATTACTGGCACTTTAAGGTAATGACAAAAAATTTCTTGTATATTAATTTAACTTAAATTTTATTTTTATTTTATTATTTGGATTAAAACTAATTTAATTTTTTGGCTCAACTTGAAATGAAAACAAAACAAAAAAAAGAAACTTGAAAATTTTTTTTTGACAAAACTATTTGTTTCCGCGGTCTCAAACTTTATATATAAGCTTCTAATAGAGAGATCTATTAATGAAAAAAATATGAAGTTTCAACTCGATGTCATAGATTGTACAGTTGAACCGATTTTTTTTAGCACATCTTTATACATTTACACAATTCTTTCTTGTAACTAATAAATTGCATGTTTCTGTATGGTCATAATGGCAATCATAAGTCATTCATTTTTTCTTAGTTCAGTTCAGTATTAGGTTTGATATAATTTAATATATCTATAGTTCTTTGTTGATTTTCAGATTTATTAGTCTCAATTAAACTAGGGAACAAATGGGATTTGACAAGCAAGTTTTGTTTATTTGTGTCATGACTTGTTTTAAAGTTTGTTCTCATGTAAAGTTATTAACATTGTATTTTATAAAAAGTAGTATAGTTTTAATCTTAAAATAAAATAACTTCAATCCATTTGTATCTATTTGCACTAATGTTTTTTTGTGTGAATTGATTAATATATGTATGTGTTTGGGTAGTAGTAGGTAATAGTAATTGGATTCTTCTAAAAAACTTAAATGCTAACAGAAAATCAAATATACATTTAGTATATTAAATTTCATGTTATTGCATCAAACTTCTGCTTCTCAGATATATTGTGTGAATTGACTGTTATTGTTTATGGTATTGAAATGTGTTAAAATAATTGTTATTTGTTTTTTGTTTGAAAATATTTACAGTTTTGATTGATTTATACATTTTTTTGCATGGTTTTGCTTTTAACTTCATTTTTTAAATTTCATATTTCTGCATTTCAGTTCTCTAGCCAGAACATGGATTGGAAATGTCTTTTCCTTTATGTGGAAGTAAGATTCACTATAATTGATACACAACTTTGCTCATATCAGCTATTATTAAAGTACTTCTTCTAAAATCTATTTTTTTTTGTTCTTCTGCTACTTATTTCGTTAGATGTTCATGTTTCTTCATAAATGTTTTGCCTTCTTGTTTTTTGTTGTTGTTTTTTTTATTTGCATCTTATCAAAATTACTTTTTAAATGTCTTTACTGCTTAGTAGGCCAATTATGAAACCAAGTCACAAATAATTCTTAGTAAAAAACGACCATTATAATAATTATTAATGACTAACATTTCAGGATAAATTATACAAAAAAAAAACAATAGTATTGCCTATTCATACCACAATACTACAACAAAAATAAAATAGTCCAAATTTTAATATCAGCACTTATAATTTGCAAGTTATACTTAATTATTTTTTAATTTCAGTTGGACTGGTGGCTGGTTTACCTGGACTCGTCAGTCAGATGTAATGTTACGTAATATAGAACAAACAATACTGTCATGTAAGTTGAGATACTTTTGTTCTATTATAATTCATGTTTTATAATTTTTCGCTCTTATAATTATTAATAATAAGAAGGGTTTTTGTTGTATATGTTTACAAAGAAATTTGACCTTTTTTTATTGTACAGATAATTTGTCTGTTTCAAAAGAAATGATCACTAGCATATTAACATGGATTTTAAGGTAGATCTTAATGTCTTGGAAAAAATATAATTTGCATGAAATTCTAATAATGAGTATATAAGCACTAATCCATAGACTGAAACTAACCTAATATAAATTTATATAGAATTTAAAAATTATAAATAACATATTTGTGTAATTTGTAAACATATAATTAAAATCTGTAGTTTTGATAATTTCCCCAAAGTTTATAAGTAGATTCATATAACAAAATTAGGATGATGTTACATTATATACAATACATACTAACTAACAGATAAAACTAATCAACGAACCCTTGTTCAATCAGATAACAATGTTTAAGGATATAGAATTAAGAACTATAAAATTATTAGCGACTCACCCTCACTTTGCTTTGTCTCCCAAGACAAAAACAAATCTATCCCATGGGAATCATACATTTTTCTGGGATAAAAAGTAAACTATGTGCTATTCCAGGCTATAATCTATCTCTGTGCCTTTCATCTAGATCAGTACAGCCGTTCTGGTGTGAAAGAGTAACAAACATCTATCCATCCTCATAAACTTTCAGATTTATAATATTTGTAGGGATGTATTGGTGCATTGTATTACGTTACATCTACAAAAAGTGAAAAAGATTACATAGTTTATCTTAAAAACTAAATAGCATAATATGTAGTATCATTAAATGAAATTATCTCAAGTGTTACTTTAGGGTATGATAAGTAATACAAAAGATAATATTTTTTATATTTTTTGATAGGTATTATATATCAGCTCTATATATTTATGTAATACTAGCATTGCCCGCGGTTCCGCCCGCGTTCAGATGACCAAAAACCAAATTCTTAGATTTTACATATTAGTATACTCTTACATTGCAGTTTTTGTATTTTTTTAAAAATGAGTTATTTTCCCGCGGTAAAAAGTAATGTTGTACCGGATAACCAGCTATCACTATACCAAATGTCATCAAAATCCCTCCTGCGGTTTTTCTGTGATGCGGTAACAGACAGACAGACAAAAATTCTAAAATCTATAGATTCGGCCTCTGTATCGATAATAATGTTTGTTTCAATAAGATTTTCCAAAAAATATCTAATGTACAGATTCGGCTTAATTACAATTTTATTATGTGTATAGGCTAGCGATCTGCCCTCGCTTTGTTTCGACATTTACTACACAGGCCGTGCCAAAATACTCATAAAACTCTAAATTCACATATTCTCGTATTCCACGAGAACTTAATTTCTCGACATTAAGGCGATTAGTACCCTCAAGGGCTAGCAAAGAGCTACTTTCTAAAGCGTACTTCTCGTTTATGGCTTGACCGAAATGCTTGAAAAAAATATATTTGAATCATCAACTCTTAAACAATATTTTCAAGTAAATTTTTTTTCGTGGGACGAATATATCTATTAGTTTTTTATTTTAAAGAAATGGTATTTTTTTGACTTGCCTTTCGTACTGTTTCTAAACGGCGAAGAATTTTGGAATCATTTAAATACTAAAAAATAATATATCTATTTTACTTTATGCCCATTAGAAAAAATTGTAAATCAATTACTATTTTCCTATTTTAAAAATCGAAAATGCTATTCACAAGCCTAGAAGCTATAGAGGTGCATTGCGCGGGCGCGCGCGGCAGTCGCGCGCTGGCGCTCAGACGGGAGGGCTATGTCACTTTTTGTCTCCTGTTTTTTTACGATGAATTTACGCATGTATTGTTTATGAACACAAGTATTTTTGTATGTGTGCGTGCAGAGAATAATCGCTCGCAGACAGATAAATGTGTAGTAAAGTACGCGCTTGGACGCTGTAGAATATTTTAACTAGTTTAATGTAAAAATTAAGTTCTATGAAGGTATAGTTATTGTTATTTTTATCTATACATATAATAAAATTGTAACTAAGCCAAATCTGTATATTCAATATTATTTGGAAAATCTTATTGAAATAAACACTATTATCGATACAGAGGCCGAATCTATAGTTTTTAGGATTTTTGTCTGTCTGTCTGTCTGTTGCCGCGATCTTAGAGCACGGTTTTGATAATTATGCAAAGAGAAATAATGTAAGAATAATTTACTTTCTTTGAAAGATAACAGGTATAAAAAGGCAATTTAAATAAATTCACCAATATTGTCAATATTATTACGTGTTGCGGTTACTTCTTAAGCCTCATTTAATTTATACCAGCGTTTTCACGCGACTACACCCGCTCAGGTCACGTATATGCTACTACTAGCATTGCCCGCGGCTCCGCCCGCGTTCAGATGACCAAAAACCAAATTCTTAGGTTTTACATACTTTTACATTGCAGGTTTTTGTATTTTTTCTCAGAAATGAGACATTTTCCCGCGGTAAAAAGTATCCTATATGTTGACCCGGATAACCAGCTATCACCATACCAAATTTCATTAAAATCCCTCCAGTGGTTTTTCTATGATGCGGTAACAGACAGACAGACCGACAAAAATTCTAAAAACTATAGATTCTGTCTCTGTATCTATAATAATGTCTATTTCAATAAGATTTTCTAAAAAATATTTAATGTACAGATTCGGCTAAGTTACAATTTTATTATGTGTATAGATATCTTTTTAAATTATAGCTTACTAGCAGAACCCGCGGCTTCGCTCGCACTAAAACTACAAAAAAATCTCTAAAAAGTAGTTTAGTTTAGGTAGTTTCATACAAACTTTCATTCCCTATTTTACCCCCTTATAGCATGAATTTCGAAAAATGCTAAAACATTTAATTAATTTTATTGAAGAGCATTAATACCAAGTTTCAAGTAATTCTGATCACAAATCTTTTTAATTGTATTATAACGTGTTTTCTCGTGGGAGTTAGATAATCTCCCGCGATAAAAAGTAACCTATGTCACTCTTCAGCCCTCCAACTACAAGTACATATCTCCACACAAAAAATCACGCCAATTCGTCACTCCGTTTCGACGTGAAAGAAATACAAACAAACAAACCCACCTGCACATTTATAATATTAGTATGGATATAAGTGTTAGTATTATATACAAACTGTATTACTGTAAAGTTTCATCAAAATCCGTTTAGTAGATCTAGCGTGAAAGAGTAACAAACACATAATATATCCATCCTCACAAACGTTTCACGATTTCGTAAAAAACCACGTCTAATTTTTTATCTCTGACCTTGACTCCTAATATATTCGTATGACGGAAATTATTTTGATATTTTTTTTTATCAATGTTATGCAGTAGGTTGTGAACGATTTTGCAACGAGGTTATCTTAATCATTTTCATTGTTGGCAATAACCTTTAAACGTGTCTTCGTACCTGGTAATGACCCAACAAATGTTACAAAACATTTAGTATACGGAGTCCGTATTACGGACTTTGTACCTTGTAATTTATATGTATCTACACCACTAAATTCAATACAACGGCTTGGTAGTATTATTAAAGTTAACACATAATGCAGTAGATAGGTATTGATAGATAGTGGAAATGGAATTTGAACTTCGGTCGGTTTTTATATTATAATTTATTATATTTTTACTGTAGTGTGTAATGAATACTACGTCTATTTTAACGTCCCAATGATCAGACCATAGCCCACCACGCTGGCCAAGTGCGGGTTGGCGGACTTCACATGTCTTTCGAAAACTTTCTAGGTTCTATCAGATATGCAGTTTTCCGCAAGATATTTTCCTTCACCGTAAAACAGTATCGTAATCATATTGGAAATATTTCGTACCTGAAAATTTCAGAGGAGACCCGGGATTTGAACCCGCTTCACTCGGTTTCCCAAGCGAGCGAATGACCATTGGGCTACCGCACTGCCTCAATGTTTTTGGTACTACTTGTTTATTTTTCCATGCAAAAATCTAGTAAAACTAGTCAGTGCGTGCGTGTTTCTCGATTAAGTTAGTTTCTTCCGCACTGCAGTCACTGTGGGAGAAACGTATGTATAATGTATATACTCTTAGTATACAATAGAATAACATATCAGGCATTAAGCACTTCGACCTTTGTACTCTTTTTTAGTCGTTAAATAAGATGAATGAGACTTTTCTATGTATATTTCAATACATTATCAAATTCGTAGCTATGATAAAATCCATTAATCTAATTAATGAAGATCAAGATCCTTATATAATTCAGGGTTCGAAACGATAATTATCATTGATAAATATGGGTTGATAATTATCTTTGATAAATATAATTGAAAATATTTAATTTGCAACTCTTCATATTGACTAACTCTTCATATAGCTAACTGAACTCTCTGAATCAGCTCAAAAAACTCAATCAGCAAATTGATTTAATGCAGTTGAGGTGGATGAGGATGATATTCCACTCATTAAGGAGTCTGCCCACTACATCGTCTCATACCATGACCGTGCTATGAACGTATCAGGCACGGAAAAAAGCGACACGGTCTACTATGCCAACTAGAACGTATCATTCGCGTATCAACCACGTGTCATATTATAGTTCCCGTTTTCTCAGTTGTAGTAGTATTTATATTATAAATACATACCTACATGAAACAATATTTAATGTTTCAAACGTCCTCTATACACGTGATGAGATTTTTTAATTTTTTGCACTATGTTTAAATAAAAAAAAATGTTTACGTCATCCAAGATAGTTGCTTGATCATTCGTTTTTTCATACAAGAATAAAGAAACGAATATTTTTCCTCATTTCGAACTTGTAAAAAGGCTGTACTTTAAAACTAGATTAGAGGCTAGAGGGTTATAATTAGATATATACACATTTATCAATTTATGTACCTACCGATAATTAGATATGAATCATGGCATGTCTTCTACAATGGTACTGTTGAATATTGAAATTCATACTAATATATAAATGCGAAAGTAACTCTGTCTGTTTGTCTGTTACCTATTCACGCTTAATCCGTGAACCGATTTAGACGAAATTTGGTATGGAGATGGAAATTATCCCTTAAGTTGGATGGAACTATATAGTTTATGAATTCCATACTAACCGTCATAAGGTATCTAGGGACGAATCCGAGCAGAGCGACGGTGTGTCGCTAGTGATATTATAAATAATAACTAAATCATAATGTTTACCCAAAGGAGACTATTTTTAGTTGTAATGGATTAGGACTGTTGAATGCTATATAGTAGTACATATATACTTTTAAGATATAAAAGTATTATACTACTAAGATATAAAAATTAATGTATTTTTCTAATCTAGTGAAAATGAAATAAAACAAGTATTTCGTAATTTAATACTTAAAAAAACCTATAAAGCTAAATCAATGTTAACACTGCCTTTAACATTTATTGGAAACTTTTTTAGGCGTGAAGACCGTGTATAAGCGTTTCTATGTAGATATTGGGTCAGTGGTGGGTGAATGTGATAAAATATGGACCATTTCTTTGAACGACGAATCCCCAAAGACGCCATTGTTGATGTTACACGGCATGGGAGCTGGTGTAGCGCTTTGGTGTCCTAACTTGGACGCGTTTGCGGCGTCTCGACCGGTATATGCGATAGATTTACTAGGTAAGTGTAAGATAAGTTTTCAACCGACTTCAAAAAGGAGGAGGTTCTCAATTCGACTGTTTTTTTTATGTTTGTTACCTCAGAACTTCGTCATTTATTAACCGATTTAGACAATATTTGTTTTGTTTGAAAGGGTATACTTCCAGATTGGTCCCATTTAAATTTCAAAAAAAAAATACCACCCCTAAGGGTGGAAAAATAGGTAATGATGGATTTAACCTACTTCTAATTATCATATTGACTTGAAACTTTGCAAGTGTTTCTATTTCCGTTGATAGTATAGTGGTTCAGTATTGTTGACCTGATCTGATGGTAAGGCCAGAAGGTGGATAGGTGGAACTCTTCAACGGCTAATAGTAGATACTTTGAGTTTGGGCTTATTTTGTTTGATTCGACAAGCCTAACACGTTAGAATTCTTACTTTGCTAGTACTGTCTACACTAAAAAGGGAAAAATAAAAACTTTTTAACAAAAAATAAAAACCGACTTCAAACAAAAGCACTAAAAAGTAAAAAATAACTGATTGGTAGTTTTCATTTACTATACATACCTAATCAAATATTTTCGAAGTCGGTGTGCTTTGCTTTGTATGGGCTGGCACCGATTTCGAAAATATTTGATTAGGTATGTATTTAATTAATAGGTAGGCTTTAATTACTTAGCCAAAGCACACCGACTTCGAAAATATTTGATTAGGTATGTATAGTAAATGAAATCTACCAATCAGTTATTTTTTACTTTTTAGTGCTTTTGTTTGAAGTCGGTTTTTATTTTTTTGTTAAAAAGTTTTTATTTTTTGTAAGACATTATCGAAAGCGAAGCGTAACTGCCTAGCGTCCTTAGGTGCCTAACAGCCTTCATCGAAATCCGTCCAGTCATGATAGCGTGAAGGAGTAATAAACGTACACACATACATACAGACGCACATACAAATGTTCAAATTTGTAATAGTTCGATGCCTACTACCTGTACGTACTCATTGTCAAAAAGCCAGCATAAATTAAATAATACGTTTTCTTTCAAACAGCTATTTAAAGCTAAAATTATTAAAGTGCTTAATAGTAATAAAAACCATTTTGACTTTGACATTATGGTTTTATCTATAAAAAAATCACCTCGGGCAATGGTGACTAATTTTGTCCTAGATAATTTTTTATTCGTTTCAATTTTACTTATTAATAGTTTAGATATATAATTAAATACGTTTTATTGTTATTTCAGGATTTGGTCGTAGTTCCCGACCAAAGTTCGCGTCAGAGGCTGAGAAAGTTGAGGCGCAATGGGTCGAATCGGTAGAGGAATGGAGACGCGAGGTCAAGATCAAAGAGTTCATACTCCTTGGACACAGCCTCGGGGGATTCATTGCTACGGCTTACGCATTGAAATATCCTGAGAGGTATGCACATAAAATTCTCATTCATTACGTTTGATTTTGAAATACTGTCAAATGTGAGGGTTGCCAAAAAATACAAATTTCATGATCGCCATGAATATTTTTTGGTTTTAAAGCGTTGTAATGCTGTATCGCAGCAAGTCACATTCGTACATGTCTAATGTCAACCCTAAAGCTGTTTCCCAACTTTCATATAAGAGTATGCATGACAGTCGCGTGCACCTCACTCATGTTCCTCACCGCATGCCCCGCAATATTGTCATATTTTGCGTCTTCGTTAGATGATTGTATGGATTAGTAGACTGTGGTAGCCCACAACAACTTTAAAGCGCTGTCAACTACAATATCATACACGCGTAGTCTATGCCTATTAACTTATTAGGGCCTTTACACACCACATCAACAACGCGTAAAAAATCGTGTGTATAGGCCCTTATATAATACTCTTTTTGACTGTTACCTTGTATTCTAATGCCGCTATTTTTCAACAGAGTTCGACATCTCATCCTCGCAGATCCATGGGGTTTTCCAGAAAAACCATCAAATGTGTACGAAAAGTACCAAGTTCCGTTCTGGATTCGAGCAGTGGCGACTGCGATGCAGCCTCTCAATCCCCTGTGGGCGGTGAGGGCGGCCGGACCCGCGGGGAAATGGCTAGTTAGCAAGACAAGACCAGATATATCTAGGAAATATCTAAATTATGTACCTAACGCCGAGACTGTTATACCTGAATATATATACCAATGTAACTCGCAAACGCCCAGGTGAGTTGAATATTGTTATTGTCAGTTTATGACATTTTAAGATAATTTTATTCTTGTATGTACATATGAATCATAAATCTGTATATTAAATAAAACTATCTTTTCGGATTTCTTCGCGAATTTATTTTGATTTTTGGTTCCCGACGTTTCGAATGCTTTACAGCATCCATGGTCACGGGAGAGACTAAGGTGTTAGATGTCTCAAAGGCATTATATAATTATTACAGAGGTTTATGTATAAGATGCAATATAAAGGAGTGCCTTCATATTTCAATAGCATAATTAATAATATTAAATACTATTAATTGTACGACCACAAAAGGATACTTTTTACCGCGAGAAAATATCTTATTTCTGAAAAAAAAATACAAAAACTGCAATGTAAGAGTACTATTATGTAAAACCCAAAGAGCATGTAAATGAGTGTAAAACCTAAAAAATTGGTTTTTGGTCACCTGAACGCGGGCGGAGCCGCGGGCAATGCTAGTCTATACATATACCTAGTAAAAGTGTAACTGATCGCTATCTGTATAATTTTTTTGTGAGAAAAACTAATATTGGGGGACTTAATTAACATAATAGAACCCAAAACAATGATTTTTTGAATTTTTTTCTGTGCGTGTTAATCTCAGAAACGGCTTAACCGATTTGGATGCGATTTTTCACTAATGTGTTGTGGGTGGTATGCTACACTTAACATTTTGTGTATGTTTTATTTCAATCAGTTCATAAATAAAAAAGTTAAATCAATTTAAAGAAGCGTATAGGAATGAACCCGAGCGAAGTGAGGGTGACTCGCTAGTCAATAATTAGTACATAAATATATAAATAATATCAAATAAATGATAATAATAATAAAAAATGTATGTAAATATAGATAAGAAGATTAGAGTCTAAATGCAGTTTTAAACGCTTTTTAAAGGAATTAAAAAGTTTTGTATAGTATAATATTTATATTCCAGCGGTGAAAGCGCCTTCCACTCGTTAATGCACGGGTTCGGGTGGGCCAAGAACCCGATGGTGCACCGCGCGGCGCAGCTCGACCCCGCGCTGCCCGTCACCGTGCTGTACGGCTCGCGCTCGTGGGTCGACAACAGCACCGGCCAGCTGCTCAGCGAGCACCGGCCTGATTCCAAGACATACGTACAGGTATTTATAATGAACCTCTTTGTTTATTTCCATTAACTTCTATTAGTTAACCAAGAAATATATATTATTATTTAAAGTTATAAAAATATTAGCGTTTTATTCAATTTTCTTTGGTTGTAAACTTGATTGGGTATCCTCCAGTTTGCTCCAGATCTCTCCTAAATTTTATATTTTGTCAGTGTATTGGTTGGACAAACTGTATGTTTCCTTCAGTGTATATTAAATTATTATATTTACATTGCCTCAACTCTGTACATAACTTTTACGTGTAATAGGATAATATTTTTTTTTATTTTTTAATAAAAGTTCACTAATTTTATGGATTATTGATATTACGTATTTGCTACAATGGCCTAAGAGCCTGTGAACGCCTGACCTTCGTCATTTGATAAAAGCTGAAAGTTTGTCAGCGCATGCTCCCAACACAGATAAGAACGATGGACCATTATGAAGTTCAGGCTATGGTAGCTTTGGCAGGAACACGGTACTAAAGGTGTATAAAATACCGATCTAAATTCGTCAAATAATAAAGTGTGATTTTTTGGTATTACCTTCAGAATATTATTAAAAATCACGTCATTCAATGCCAGACACTTAACATCGTGGCAAACCCTTGCCAGACACCCTTTTCATGAAATCATAATTCTACTTACGTTATAGTTTATAAGCTGATTTTTATATATAATACTTGGGTAATAATAGATGATTTATAAGACTGCTAGCATATCATTTATTACACACCATCAAAAATAAAGTCAATTCTTAGCGCTTCAAATTTGGTGACCATTTGCCACATTTTCTTAGAAATGCCTCCCAACTTGTTTGGAACATTTTTCATGGTATATAATAAATGCTATGCTAGCAGTCTTATAAATCATCTAATTATTACCCAAGTATTATATATAAAAAATAAATTAAATGTGGCACTCGGAGACTGCCGCGGTAAAGCTATAGTATAGCATTTTTTATCAACTTATGCAATTATAATTATTTATTTATTTTATTAGTATTTCACGCCATCTAGTTTCATGGTAAGCTACGAGGCCTGTGTTATGGATACCAGATAGTTGATACACTACACATATATAACTTTAAATACATAGTTATTATAAATATAAACACCCATGACTGGAGTACAAACATTCGACAACACACAAATGAATGCCTCCAGCGGGACTCGAACCCGCGACCGCTGGCACAGAAAATAGGGTCAATACAAACTGAGCCAAGCGTGTCGTCAAACGTGACTTAAAACATAAATATAAAACTACTATTTTGTTTTGTTGCGCCATCTAGTGACCATATTCTTATAAATCATCTATTATTACCCAAGTATTATATAATATATATTACCCAAGTATTATATAATATATATTTTATATTATAAAAATCAGCTTATAAACTATAACGTAAGTAGAATTATGATTTCATGAAAAGGGTGTCTGGCAAGGGGTTGCCACGATGTTAAGTGTCTGGCATTGAATGACGTAATTTTTAGTAATATTCTGAAGGTAATACCAAAAAATCACACTTTATTATTTGACGAATTTAGATCGGTATTATACACACCTTTAGTACTGTGTACCTGCCAAAGCCACCATAGCCTGAACTTCATAATGGTCCATCGTTCTTATCTGTGTTGGGAGCATGCGCTGACAAACTTTCAGCCTTATAAAATGACGAAGGTCTGGCGTTCACGGGCTCTTCCTCTACAATAACAATAAATACAATCATATATATTTGTCAGACAATAACAACGGTTACCATGGCAACAATTAGCTATAATAGCTTTTATTATAAATCGTAACATTTGATCTCCAACAGGTCATAAATGGTGCGGGCCACCATGTCTACCTGGACAAGCCGGAGCAGTTCAATAGATTTGTATTAGAGGCATGTTCTCTAGCGGATGAAGCACCGAGAAAACTTCAAAACAAACCCGATACAGATAACATTAATGGAACGCCATCTTGATAGTTATATTAGTTATTAGGTATAGCTTACGCACGTTTTTATTTATTTGAATTTGTCACATTTGTGCCTACGGTTATGGGAATGTTGCTTATTGCCTAATTCAAGTCACTCTTGACTTTAATGTTAATACACCCAAAATGTAGATATTATGGATCGATATAAAAATTGCAATTTTTGCAATTTGTATGCAAGTTGCATCTTATAATTTTGTCCTAATTTACTGTGAAAATTAGTGAAATTAGTATTTTGAAGAAATTCTAAAAATATAACTGTTAGTGACCATTTGTCTTAAAATTAAATTATATTGCTATATTCAGTATTAACGGGTTGAAGTTGCTACAAATGTATTAAATTTAAAATTTTTCCTATATAATTCAATACTGTCCAATTTTTCTGAACTGTTGAAAGTAACTAGGCACCAAAAAATTGCATTGATATTAATATATGAAATGCACAAGTATTGTGTGACAGACAAAGAGACGCCTCTTTTATATTGTTGAGCTTAAGATTTTTATACTTATTATGTATATGTAAATAAAAATAATTTATTGAAAGAACCTGCCATTTTTTTATCCTGCTCCTTTGAATATTTTAGTTACATAGTTGAGGATAAATAAAGTTTATAAAAACATGATAAAAATTCTAGAGGACAGTTATTGAGTCAATATTTCTCATATTTAAAATCCTTATTGTGCTTGGAACAGTAATGTTAATTACTGGTCTTATCTCTGAATACGGACTTAGCACTTTTAACCTTAAAAAAGTGGAGTTATCAATAATGGGAAAATAATGACTTGAAGGCATATACAATAGTTAGCAAATATCACGTTTCAGATTTAAGACTCCAGATGTCTAAAAAATTGTAAGTTATTTATATTTTCTTCTAAGAAATGCCAAATACTGGGTTATTTTTTGGAATCTGTTATTATTTATGCAGGTAAGTTTAAAATTTAATGTTAGACTTTGATGACCTTATGAAGAATGCCTCTCGCGTATTTTGTTTAATTTTAACAAGAACTAAACCGTTTTAAAACTTGTATACTAGTCGGAAATAAAACAACAATTCAAAAAAAAATACAGATTTATTAACTATCACAAACATGCAGGCGGCCATTATTTACACATAAAATAAGCTGTATATTCTAATAATAATCAAGTTTCAAATTCTAAGTTCTCATCTCATAATTTACATGAATTAATTAAATTATAGAATGAAATCATAGTTCACTTAATTGAATAAAAATTCACTTATTTTAAGAATTATGTTAGTTTTTTATCAGGGTCCGGAAACCCATTCAATTTTTAATCTGGTTTTGGGCATTGTCCCCATACTGAAAGGTTTTGGTTATTCTTTAACCGGTAAAAGCCCAAAGAATGGTTTTTGACCAATTTAAGTTCCAAGATCGGAATTAACCTGTTAAAATGAGTTTTTTTGCGTTACATTTGGCGAATCTTTGCTAATAGTAAATTGCTTAGTAGAAGGTTACATGCACATTCTTACTTATGAATGAAGTTTATTTCAGTATCAAAACAGAAATGCAACCTATTTCTAAGAATAAACATTAACCATTTCGGTTTACGGTCTTCGGTTGAACCGTTTGTTTTTTTGTTTTTATTAACCGGCTAAAGAACGAGCTATGAATTACCATTACTGAAATAAACAGTTTTTTTAAATCGATTCCCAGCCCTGGTTTTTATATTGCCATTTCGTTCTTTTTAGTTCTAGTTACACTTTTATTGTAAAATCAAACAGAATGCTACATAATATGTTCGAATATTAACAAAGTCTTAAATGTGTGTGGCTGACGATAACGACCTTGCCCTCATCTTGTAAGTCTCGTAATGCTTCATCTAATTGGTCTCGTGATACCGTCTGAAATTAAAACAATAACGAATTAATTGATTGGAAAATTCGAATCTTTAAATTGCTATCGTCGTGAAATTATATGGCATCATAAAAAATTGCACGTAGTCCACGTACGTTATAATAATAATGTAATCTATACAAATAAATAAAATTGAAATAATTGTTTATAATGTCAAAATAACAGTTTTTAACTAAATATCTGGCTAGAAACGGCTGGACCGATTTTGACAGGACTGATGAATTAATACTATGGCCTAAGAGACTGTGAATGCCAGACCTTCGTCATTTTATAAAAGCTGAAAATTTGTCAGCGCATGCTCCCAACACAGATAAGAACGATGGACCATTATGAAGTTCAGGCTATGGTGGCTTTGGCAGGTACACGGTACTATAGGTGTGTAAAATACCGATCTAAATTCGTCAAATAATAAGTGTGATTTTTTGGTATGACCTTCACAATATTATTAAAAATCACGTCATTCAATGCCAGACACTTAACATCGTGGCAAACCCTTGCCAGACACCTTTTTCATGAAATCATAATTCTACTTACGTTATAGTATAAAAGCTGATTTTTATATATAATACTTGGGTAATAATTAGATGATTTATAAGACTGCTAGCATAGCATTTATTACACACCATCAAAAATAAAGTCAATTCTTAGCGCTTCAAATTTGGTGACCATTTGCAACATTTTCTTAGAAATGCCTCCCAACTTGTTTGGAACATTTTTCATGGTATGTAATAAATGCTATGCTAGCACTCTTATAAATCATCTAATTATTACCCAAGTATTATATATAAAAATCAGCTTTTATACTATAACGTAAGTAGAATTATGATTTCATGAAAAGGGTGTCTGGCAAGGGTTTGCCACGATGTTAAGTGTCTGGCATTGAATGACGTGATTTTTAATAATATTCTGAAGGTAATACCAAAAAATCACACTTTATTATTTGACGAATTTAGATCGGTATTTTACACACCTTTAGTACCGTGTACCTGCCAAAACCACCATAGCCTGAACTTCATAATGGTCCATCGTTCTTATGTGTTGGGAGCATGCGCTAACAAACCTTCAGCCTTGATAAAATGACGAAGGTCTGGCGTTCACGGGCTCTTCCTCTACTACCTCTCTGTAAGAATTTATAGTATTAGCGTGAAAGGCAAACTTGTACTTTTTCAAATTGTCTGAAAAAAAAAACAATGATACTCACAATTTGCGAATTAGTATTGACCTCTTGCAACAATTTAACATGTGTGATAGTATGGGGTTTGTTATACGGCTTTATAATATCCTTGAGTGCATTGACGAGGTCGGCCCTGCGGCGCCGCGCGGCCGCGCCCAGCCCCGTGGTGAGGATGCCCACGTCTATGCGACCCGATGCTGGATCTGTGGCAGACTGCTTTAGGGCTTCGCGATGTAACCTGGGAATTATATTAAATGTTTATTTGTTGAAGATATACTTCTTTTGGCATGTTTGGAAAAAATATGAGAGTAAAATTTTTACGATGCACGCGCAAACCGACCGTCAAATAGCGGCATGATAAATGCTCTTACGACAAAGAAATAAAATTTCTAGTATAATGGATTACGCTTTCATGATCTCTGATAATATTCATGTAATGACAATGTATAATAGGATGATAAATACCATGCTGATATTTTAAACATGGTATATATTTAAAACGTTTTACATTAGAAAGAAAAAACAATCAGACAAGTGCAATTCTCACTGGCGCATCAATGGTTTCATTATCCATAAAATTTTAAACTTGAGTTGTTTTACAATGTTTACCATTTTAAAATCACAAAACACAACAAGTACTGATTAAATAAAAAAAAAATAATTCATATAATTTTCAATCCAATGATCTTATATGCAGTCCTATCCTTATGTATACAATTACACCATCCTTTGGGCTACATTTTGGTATTACCATTTACCATAGACAAATCTATAAAGGAACATAGTAATGAATTACACACCTGGCTGCTTCATCAACATCCACAATTTCAACCACAGGACAGAGCCGCACACGAGCGTGCGCTTCGGCCAGACGTATGAGAGACTCTAGCTGACGCGGGTACGCGGATATCTGTCCACGACCACTGCCTACTCGTCTGGGAATAAGAAAACAAATTTGTAATGATGGAATCAATTATTTTAGACAGTTTTAATTTATAATTAATTTCTCATAATAATATTTAAAGCCCAAATTTGTAAATTGATACAATACACCTAGTATTGAATAATGTGGTGTAAATGTTGTCTAGCAAGTGACAATGCGTTATCCTATAAGAATTTAGTTTTATTTCCTTTTTAGGCAAAAACTCCAAAATATGTCACTTTTTTTTCTTACAACAAAACATATTTATAATAAAAATACACATTGAATAATGATGTCGTTTGTAAGAGAAATTGGTTGCTATTATTTTTAAGCTTTTTAAAATAATATAATGTTGTAACCTCATATCAACATAGGCATCGATGAGCCTCTGCTGCGCGGCTTCACTCAGCACGGGCTGCACGTGCTCCTTGGCGAACGCTATGTAATCCCGCATTAGACTCATGTTCTGCAAATTATTAATAACATTTTATAATGCGATGGCTATAACTTAAATCAAATGTTTATAACTTAGAATCGAAAATATAACCTCGAAACCAACTCAAAAAAATGATGAGCAGTAATTGGTATCACTATACCCAATGGGTGCACTTATTTTTTTAGGGTTCCATACCCAAAGGGTAAAACGGGACCCTATTACTAAAACTCCGCTGTCTGTCCGTCTGTCACCAGGCTGTATATCATGAACCGTGATAGTTAGACAGTTGAAATTTTCACAGATGATGTATTTTTGTTGCCGCTATAACAGATAATACTAAAAAACCATAAAATAAATATTTAAGGGGTCTCCTATACAACAGACATGATTTTTTTGCCGTTTTTATAGATAATGGTATGGAACCATTCATGCGCGAGTCCGACTCGCACTTGGCCGGTTTTATTTATTTAATAAAAGGGGAATAAAATTACCACAACGTCTTCATCATCCTGTGTGTCAGCTGGATCTTCGAAGTAAAGTGAAACGAGATGTGATGCTAGACGTCGGTCGAAAACTTCGTCTTGCGGGTCCAAAACTAAGAATATCAGATCAAACCTGAAATAAAAAGTATATCTTATTATTTGTATTCAGCCCTATTTAACGTCCTACACTGCTGGGCACGAGCTTCCCTTCAATACAAGGGGGATCAGGCCATAGTCCACCACGCTAAACAAGTGCGGGTTACGCCGAACAAGTGTTTAGGCAGGTTTCCTCACGATGTTTTCCTTCACCGTAAGGCAAGTGATAATCATATTAAAAATGATTCGCACATGAAAATATGAAACTTACGAGACCCGGGATTTGAACCCACTACACTTAGTTTTTTAAGCCAGGGCGTTACCACTGGGCTACCACTGAAATATATTTAATTATACATAAATATATAATTTTAAAATTTTTATTTATTTATTTATTATATAATTTTAAAAACGAAAGATTAAAATACTATGTTGAATTTCAAAATTGTAAATTTAAAAAATACGTGTATGTGTACTTGTACGCACGTAAGAAGTTATACTTCTTTGGCGTAACAGAACAAAAATAGCTAAAGATTTCATCCTGTATGGCATAACTCTCTGTTTGTAAAAGGAATGTAGCTAACTTCATCATGTCGCTTTTTGGCTGTCGGTGTGCGCGCATCGTAACAATTTTACTGTCATAAATTTTTCCAAACGTCCCAAAAGAAGTATAACTTCAAAAATTGTAATGAATATCAATAATATTTTGGTACCTAGACATCAAAGTGTGAGGTAGTTGTACATTTTCGACGATAGTTTTGTTCTTATTCCATTGTGATTCCGCGGGATTAGCCGCAGCAAGGATCGAAGTGCGGGCGTTCAATTGACAGATGATGCCGGCCTTCGCGATTGATAGAGTTTGCTGTTCCATGACCTGAAACCAAAGAAGGTCATGTAAATCCAATTACAAAAATTAAAAATATCTGACTAACATTGTTTATATTTATTTAATAAAAACAGCATCACAGAACAGATTTGCTCATAGTCCTAGGGCTGATTGCAAATACACTCCAAGAAAAAAAAAAAAATTTAATACTTTATAACTTAGCTGTTAATATGATGATGATTTTAATCTATCCCATGGGAACCGTACATTTTTCCGGGTTAAAAAACCTATGTGCTATTGAAGACTATAATCTATCTCTGTGAAAAATTTCATCCAGATCCGTTCAGCCGTTCTGGCGTGATCGAGTAACAAATATCCATCCATCCAAACTTTCGCAATTATAATAAGTAAAGTTTCAGTTCAGACAGTAAAATGTAAAAGTTAGCTTTTACATTTTACTTACTCATAGTTTTTACATAGCTGTTACAGACAGTATTTACCCACAAAATTATACATAATTTGGAAGAAATTTACAAATAGCACCAAAGTTTTTAATTTCATTTTAAATTGTTTTAAAGAACTATACAATGGTTGCTGTAAAGCATTCGAATCGTCGAGAAATAATATATAAAAAGTAAAAGTGACAAAATTCGAAAAAATAGTAGCATTTAAAATGTTCTACTGAAATTTATATAAAAAATTGCATAGTATATTGTATAAGCTTACTTCATGAAGGACACTGCGTGTGGAGTCATTCATTTTGTCGAATTCGTCGATACAGCATATTCCGTTGTCAGCAAGAACTAATGCACCCCTGAAATAAAAGTTAATTATCTTTAAAAATTATGCGTTTATTACAAGATAAAGTTATTATTTTGTAACGTATTTCTTTGTCATAATAATAACTTTTACTAGAATTGTTAACCAAGCAACAATATTTTATTTGTAAATCAAATTGTGGTACTCACGATACAGGCTCTGCCTAGTGTGAGTTACCCTCAGGTATAAAAATATATTGTAAGCTAAACTTTTTGGACAATAAAGGTTATTATTATTATTTTGTAGGTATTGTGCAAAGGAGAAACATTCGTATTTTGTATTTACTTGTAGCAAGAAACAATTTTTAATTTTGTGAACATTTTCATATCTTACACTTGAATTTTGTAAAAATATAATGTAATGTTAAGCCCTTTAAAGTTATCTATTTCTATTAGATAAGACTAGCGACTCACCCTCGCTTCGCTCTGGTTCGTGCCTAGGTACGTTTTGACGTTTAGTATGAAATGATTTTTTTTATTCAAATTATTTTTTTGTGAATTTTTCCTATATTTTAATAGTCATTCTGCTATTGGGGGCGAAAACAAATCCAAAAACAGAGATCATAAAATTCAGTCCGGCCGTTCTTGAGATATAAGTGTTGTAACAAACCTGACTTCGTTTTATATATATGGATAATAGATGATAGATAATCTATCTGTAATGATAGTGGAATGATCAATTTTCTTTTTACAGCTTAATTTAGCCAAATTAGCAGCATTCAAATAAATTTAATAGAAAATCAGTAGTAAAATTAGTAATTGTAGTAGCCATTTGTATAGTTACTCACGTCTGCAAGACGAGCTGCCTCGTGTCCGGGTCCTTGGTGACGTAGGCGGTGAGCCCCACGGCAGAGGAGCCGCGACCCGACGTGTACTGCGCGCGCGGCACCAGCGCGTGCACCCAGCGCAGTAGCTGCGACTTGCTGGTGCCCGGGTCACCGCACAGCAGGATGTTTATTTCTGATCTGAGGTTATTTGGTTATTAGTGACAGCCTCGGTTTAGTGATTAGCAGACAGCTGCACATCCATGGGTACTGGATTCGATCCTGGATCGAGTCAGGTTTAGTTATCAACTTAGGGACTAATATTATGTAGGAATTAATTGATATCAAAAGATACTTGCTGATGCCTGAGTCATCACACAGCAGGATGTTTAATTCGGATCTAATGTTATTGAAGTGAAATCTTCTTTAGCCGCGTTAAGCGATTTTTGGTAGCGGTAAAACATGTGGGTTCGTGTCACCGATATGCTACATGTGACACGTGACATGTCGACGCAGTCCCTCGCAAACTGACGACACTCCTTTATCCACTCACACACTTTGATGAAATTTTACCTGAAATGTGTGCGTCCAGCTGCATTAAAGTTCTTCTTAGTCCCACCAAGTAGTTGTAAAAGCACTCCTTTTTTAATATCTACATTTTCGTATATAGAAGGTGCGATGGCGCGGGCGAGACGCTCGTAGCAATCTGATTGGGAGGCAAGTGCTTTGAACAGTTCTATACGTTCTGGTGGAAACTGGTGTTCTTTACTGTAAAAATTATTTATTTATTTATTTATAAGTTCACAAAACCGACATACAGATGAAATAAACAAGCTTAATTATAATTATTCTAAAGTAAACAATCAGACTAATGATGTCTTCTAAGATGTGAACATCACATGCATATGAACAGAACTAAGTATTAATATATATTATAAATTGTACTATAATTAGAAACTGACGTTTGAATTTAATAATAGTAAATTTTGGCATTTTTACATTTATGATGTGTTTCTTTCTAGAAACTTTCAAATATAATATGCATATAATAATTATTAAGTTATGTGAATTTTTTAATTTATTTCATGATGTTCTTAATATCATATTTAACGCAATGGAATTATAATATAGATGAAATATGGTATGATAGCTGGTTATCTGGGTCAACGTATAGGATACTTTTTACTGCGGGAAAATATCTCTGAGAAACTATACTAAATGTTAAAACGTAAGTAGGGACGAACCCGAGCAGAGCCAGGATGAATCGCTAGTCTATCAATAAATGTATTCAGCCCTTTTTAACGTCCCACTGCTGGGCACGGCCTCCCTTCAGTACGAGGGGAATCAGGCCATAATCCACCACGCAATAAATGACAGAAAATAATTTAAATTTTGGTCGTTCAGTTCGTGTGATATCACGAAATTATTCTAACAAGCGCAATACTAACAAATAGGTAAACAAACAAACCAAAAACTTATCAACATGATCCTTCCCATAATACAAAGCATCTAAGCACGTGCGATGCGTCGTGCGTGGAGTGGCGTGTTTTTAATTCCTGATGCTATAAATTATCTTTAACATTATCACATCAGAGATCGTTAAATAAACACGTACCCCTCTTCAGTCTCCAAGAAGCGATCACTATGGGCCTTCTTATAATGCAAGGCGTCTAGATGCGTGCGATGCAGCGCGCGCAGCGTGGCGCGGCGCGGGTTGACGGCGGCGGGCGCGGCGCGGAACACGCCGGTGACGGCCACGCGCTCGCCCGCGCCCACGCCATCTACCAGCGCGCCGTGCGCCATCACGCTCACTGTGGCCGGTGTGCGTCCCGCTGGCATATCGTCTGTTAACATAATATTTATATCAGAAACTACTGGTATGTTCTATTTTTTTTGAGCGGAACCCTAATTCTTTTTCTATAATAAAAGTAGCCTATGTTACTCCCTATAACATCAGCTATCTTCCAGTGAAAATCCCGTCAAAATCCAATCGAAAAGTTCTGCCGTTTCAGAGATTACCCGGAACAAACAGACAGACAAAAATAAAAAAAGATGTGTTTTTCCTATAAGTACTGTATATACATAATTTCATATGCATTTAGTAAAACGCTGTTATTTTGACATTATAAACAGACATTTAAATTTTATTTATCATTTACAACACATTTTTTATTATTTACTAAAAGCACCCCATGAGACGTCATCATAGGTACTAGGCGATCATAAGTTAAGGAGTTAGTATGTATAGCATCTGCTTATATTGCACTATTATAACAGGGCCCTACATATATTAAACATTTTTTGTTACTTTTTCAATACTTTTGCTTATTAAAATAAAAAGAAATTAAAATACTTATACCTGGTGACTCTTGAAGTTTGACCAGCTGTTTATCACTGAAATGTGATCGATTGTGAATGAGCTGGAAACTGTGAGCTGTATTACAGTGTGAGCAGTGTGAAGGCTCTGGAACTCTCCCACGTTCCAACTCCCCTGCTGCCGCAGCACCACATACTGCACACTTGAAGTATGCTTCTCGCATTTCAGGCACAATGCCTGATGTGCGGATTACCATGCCTGAGATTGTTACTAGTTGATCAATATCTGAAAAATATTAATAAATATTTAATAAATATGATCATATTATATGAATACTTAATTTTTCACTATTCACTAGGTAACTAGTGAGTCAACCTTGGTTCGCTCGGGTTCGTTCTTAGGTATGTTTTAATGTTTAGTATAGAATAGATAGACTACATATTATAAGTTATGTAGCCTATTTCCTTTCCCAATAAATGGGTTAACTAATGTGAATATTTTTTTTCAAACAAATTAATTAAGCACATTCAAACAAACTGATTCTGCTCTTTATAATATTTTTTTACTATTCATTATGTTATATATTAAAATTTATATTATACTTAAGTAAGTAGAGTAAAATTTCAGTATTGTATAATACTGAAATTTTTATGCCTTTGTAACGTGTCGACACAGTCTGGGGATGCACAGTGTCACACGTTTTGATAAATAAATAAACTATGTATATGAAAATGTATATAATTTTTGCTCGGAGTACCAATAGATGTGAAAACCAGACTAATAATAATTTCAATTTACAAATTATGAAATATTAATTATTCATACTGAAATTAATTTAAAAATAAAAAAAAAAACACTTATTCCAATTTTATAAGTTTTCTGCTTATATTTTTTTTGTGTTATCTTTACCTTCAGGATTAAGGTCTCTCATGTGACGCTGTGGAGCATTGAAAGGCCTCACTTGTATTTGATGTTCCAATACTGCAGCTGGATATTTTTCAAAGAATAACTCATTTACTGCAGCATCAAATGCTGGTATCACCTGAGAATATTAATTAATGTCAAACACTTATAATTTGATATTATAGTGTTAGAATAAGAATCTTCATAGCTAAATTTTATTTGCAGCTTTGTGAGTGTTAAAAAAATATTATCAAACACCTTTGATAATTTTACAGTTAAGTTGTTAAATGTGTCAATTATCATTCAACATTTGTGCTACATATTTTAACAACAGTAAATTTATTTTTTAGTGAATTTAGAATATCTAAAAATGTTATATTATTTAACCATGGCCACCAATTTCCCACAAATACTCTATGTGCAAATCCTACTGTGCATGCCTAGAAAATAATCTATCAGTATTAAAAAAATAATCCAATCATCAATTTATGTAATATTTATTGACAAATATATAAACATTTTCATACATTATTTTATTATAGATTTTTTTATATTAGTCGATTATTTACAAATTCATCAATATTAGTATAACAATTGAATTTTAATAGGGGCTTTAAATTAAAATCTTACCTCTTGAGGATAACTGATAAGTTGTCTGTGTAATTTAGAGTCAAATATTTTCACATGTTCACAATCTACATCTAGGAATGGTTCTTCCAATGTATGAATCTGAAAAAAGTATTAAATAATAAGCTGTTGTAAAATTAGAAACAATAATATTGATAAGGATCAGCTAATAAACGATATGCTGCAAAATTATATCAACTATCAACAATTAATGCAACAGTACCTCTTCCAACTTCAATTCATATAAGGCCTCGTTAGTAAGAGCAGTAGGTTCTACAAATCTTTGTATAAACTTTATAAATTTTTCTCTACATTCGGCAATTGCCACATCTGTACCCCATACTACTAATTGAGGTTCACTTGAAGGCTCTGCATTGTCTGCTTCTACCTGTAATTTCATATTTAAATTAACTTGTGTTATTGGTGTAGCACCTAGAATCTGTCAGTCAGTTTTTACAATCAGTGCTAAGTATAAGACTTACCAGAATTATTTGTTAAACTTACCAATCTTGAGGGTGTAGGAGCTGGCACATTTGGTGCAGTCTGATGACCCCTTAAATCAGCTCTTTGTCGTGCTGGTGTCATAGCTCCTCTTAGAAGTGACCGAGGAGTACTTAATGAACTTGGTGTGCCATAGTTCAATGGGGAACTCATGTCTATATCTGTACCTATTAACATTCTTATTTTAGTATAAGAAATATCAAAACAGGTAGTGCAATTTCATAGAGTAATATAATTACCAAGTGGACTGGATGGTAGGGCTCTAGCTGGTGAGGTACCAGGGGCCTGTTGACTTGGTGTCCTGGGTGTTTGGCGTGGTGTTCCAGGTGTGCCATCTTTAAAAGCATTAAGCAAACGAATAAATTAATAACGTTGACAAAAATATTAAGATATGTAATTTTAATAGTTAAATAAACATTGCTTAGCAATACAAGGAAGTGATTATTATTCAAATTTTATTATATTTTAATGAACCTTTGGAAGGAGTCCCCGTAGACCGTTGAGGAGTTTCAGGAACTACAAGTTGCTGCGATGATCTCGTCCTGCGAGATGGAGTTGCTGCTTCTGACGATGCACGAGACGAAGGTCGTTTGGAAGGCGTCGACATTTTTAACACAATATTTATATACTTATTATCATTTATCAGATTCGACCACACTCAGTTTATAACTATACTCTTTGACCACACTTCTAAGTTCTAACCGCTTCTTTCACATAAGGCGCGAAATTTTGACATTTGATATTTGACATTAAACATCAAAACATTTTTTATTTATAAAAGAGATTCATAGATCGAATCAAATTACTTTGCTTGCCTGAGTTATATTTCAGGAGTTAATTCCTATTAGTTTTATATTTTTTAGCTTGCCTTGATAAATTTTATATAATTATAAATAATATAAAATTTGAGCAACTAATATAAATTGAATATTCTATCTGTGTTGTTGTGAAATTTCTATAGACAATAGGTTTATTTTTAAATCAATTGATCGTTCATTCACCGCTGTTGTTTTCGTGGTGTTCTATGATAATAACAAATAAATATACGATTATTGCGAAATATTAATCAATTTATCGCGATGATCAAGAATATACTTAACTAGTGCAATAGCTATATTGTAGTCAAAGTCGAACTCTAGTTTGAGTACATTTAAAATAGCTATATAACTTTGTGCAATCTACCTGCATCGTCGGGCATATTTTCGTAAATAATTATTGTGGTCGGCTGAATTTCTTTTTTATTTTGAATGGACCTACAAGTAGCGGATACATTGTGATACATAAAATGTACCCCTGCTAGTGATTTTGCCAGTATAATTTGGAATATTTAGATTATTTTTGGTGAGTATATCAGAGTATATAATTAGTTATTATAATTTGTGATTCACCGTTCGTGAACATCCATTATGTAGAGATCTCCAAGACAAACAGGAAGGCACTGGAAAATTATGATGTTATTTTTAACATGTTACTTCTTAGGTATATTTTTTCATTTTTTAAATATTAACATTTAAATGTAATTATTTATTGTTTTAAGTATTACTATACAAAAATAATTCTTTTAGTTTTTGAATTCTGCTTTGAAAATTATGTTAATTATAAAGTGGTCATTTGTGACAAATTAGTGTTTTTTTAGTGTATCACATAAGTTAGTGTTCAAGTCAACATTTATATTAATAACTTGAACTTACATCAACAATCAATATTATAGAACTAAATGAGTATAATTTTCTTTTGTACTAGCTTTCATTGCAAATTAAAATTAAGTTTTAGTTAGGTAATACTGAATATGACATGGGGCAGAGGTTCACTCACAAAGCCTGACAGCCCTTTATTTTTAGTAGTAGTGATTGTATTATTTAGTGTTGATTTCTATATGGCCATGTCAAATACACTCATAATTGTAGCTTTCTTATGAATGTAGATATTGTTTTATATAATAAGTCTGTTTTTTCTAATTCACTTAATTATGACCAATATAATTACATATAAATAAGTTATAATTAATTAATAAAATTGGATGGAAAAATGGAAAACAAGCAAAAATTTAATTATTGTTCTACCCTCTGTTAGGATATGTAAAACAATCCATGGTAGTATTTCTTTATTAATAATTTTATTATTATATTCAATCTTTTATTCTAAGAGTAAGACTATAGTATATAGTCTTCTCCATTTGTATCTGTTCCATGTAAATTGTGCCCAAATGGCACTCCTAGAAGCCACAAAACTATAGAATTGAATATGTCTTCAGTAACAGTTGACTACTAAACTTCCTTAAAAATATAATGATATAGTATAATGTATAATCCAAGAGATTTAAATTATATGATATAGAATAATATAATTTATATCTAATACATTTATAACAGTTAGTTACTTCTAAATAACAATCTACTTATTTACAAGTATAATTTTCTAATATTAGCATATTATAGTCATTTCTTTACTTAATGGCAATAGAGTAAAAACAAAAAAATGCATCCATTTTGTCATTTGAATTAAATCAGTGTGAAAATAGCTCATATGTCTCACTCTCAGAATTGTTTGTATTCTAATTTTAGGATAATTTGCAAATTGACAGCAATGATTTGTCAAAATATAATGTACGCATTTGACAAACTTTGAATTTTATTACTACAATTTTCTCTATCACCGACCAATCTCCTTCGTGTCTTCTCCATTCTATGTGACATATTGAAGCCATTGAAGAAAGAATTGAATTGAATTTTTTCTATCATTCAATATAGAGGATAAGGATACATTCATAATTTTTTTTTCTGCAAATTCAGTATAATGTGACATTTAAAGTGGTTTAAAATATTTTGAAAAGGAATCTTATTTCTTCCTTTACACAATATTAATTTGTTAAAGTGTGCAAGATCATCTACTACATTTTTATAATAATAATATTAGAGTTCCAGGTGCTTCCCAACAAATAGGCACCAGGCATCCAGATTTGAGTATTCTCCTGTAGTCAAGAAGCTTATCTTTTTCTGTTTTAATTTTTTTTGTTCTATAAGAAAATCTGCAAGCAGTATTTACTTTTAGTAGATATTTTCTACATATTTTTTTAATGTTATTTAATTTAGTACTTTAGTGTTTCATGTTTTCACAGTGTAATGAAGGGTTCTTTCCAAATGTACATTTGGAGTCATCTTTTCTCAATGTGAATAAACATGCATTGACCTAGACACGCATCACTAATCTCTATTTGGAAAACCAGATGTCTAGGCCTTTCTAATAATTCTGAAGCTTTGTCTCTGTCTTCATTACTAGTTAGTGTAGGTATCATCAGCAGTTTGTTGTAATGATGCAGCTAGTAACCACCTAAACCACTGTAAATAGAGAATACATATAGTACAGGTCCCAAAAGTATGGCATGTGGAATGTTCACTTTAATTTTGTTAAATTTTGATGTTTTTTGGTAAATTTTGATGTTTTTTGGTAAATTTTACTGATAGTTGAACAATTATCCTTTAGTCATTAAGTTCACACTGTATCATAAACTGATGACGGAAGTTCTTTCACCAAAATATTTAAATAACATCACCAAAAAATGTTTTATTTTATCGTTTTGGTCAAATATTTAAAAGATTTTCTCTTCATCATCTTTAACGCGGTCGGATTTCGAGATTTACATTTAAAGAGTCGTTTGGTGACTGCAAAATAATTTCTCTTCTATCTCGAGCTCGAGAGTAGAATGGGATATATTTTTAGGCTTACTTATACAGTGGGATTTATAGTGCTTAGACACAAGTGAATAAACTGTCTCACGAATTGTTTATTATTATAATCGTCCACATCGCAGTTTAAGCAATCGAAGCGGTTTTCGAGGTAGAGCTTAAAGCTCTTATCTCGCTACGTTGTGTTGCGTAACGCATTCACTCAAACTTTACATAGAAATATTACGAAAATCCGAAGTCTTTAAATTCAAATAATGCATGGCAACCTTCAAGCGAGTTCGATATGAATTCGACCGTTTTTTCATTTTATTTAGTTAATAAAGATTAAAATGTATAGCTTCAGGCTTTCTTTTATTTTAATTTTATTAATATCTCAATCTCATTAAATGTAATTGTAAAAATGATGTAAAATCGTGTTAAAGTATGTCATTTCGACATTTTCGTTACATTATGTGTAGATGATTATTTTGTATGTCGGGGTGAAGGGACTATATATTTATCTGAAAATAATTATGGTGGTATTCGAGGGGGTTCGGCAGTTAGCGCATGCGGTCTTGGGATCTTGGGGGTACGTGTAGAATTATTTAAGTTACGAATTGAATTAACAGAATGACGAAAACATGAAGTGAATTTTGAGATGTTTTCTATTTCTGTTAAATCTTGCGTTATTTTTTGTACTTTTTTTAATGTACCAAATTAAAAAAAAAACAGTATAAAAACTTTAAAAGACGTGAAAACTATATTATGAAATGCGAAGCCAAAATATGTATAATTATTTTCTAAGTTCAACCATGTATAAATAAAAAAAAGCAAAAAAATATATACTAATATATATATATAACTATACTAGGTAAAACTCTATAGGCATAAAACTTCGTTAAATTTATTTGTCAGACAAAATGTGTCCCTTTAAATATATTAAATATATATTTTAGCAGTAATTTCCATATTATACTAATTATATCAAGAAGACTGGCAACTAATTTTCTTTTCCAGCCGGTTCCACCGGTATTGTGCCGGGAGTCGAGTTACTTTGTATGAATTAACTCACCGTGTAACAAAAGTTATTTCGATTTATATTTAAGTTTAAAGATATTTATTTTGTTATTTAAGTTTTTGACAAGTTTTGATAAAAATAATAATTAATTATTAAACTTTATTGCTATACTTGATTATAAAGCTCATTATACCGTCACGGAATACTTTGTAGATGTCAATGTGTGGAACTAATGTCTGGTTAGGTCTCACGTAGGATAAGTAGATAATTATTGTATTATAATTTTATAAACAATTATTAATTTAAAAAAGCAACAGTAGAGTTTCTCGTTGGCTCTTCTCAGCAGAACTGCCTTCCGAGCCGGTGGTAGATTCCTTACGAACTGACTACGTTGACATTTAATTTAAATTTAAAATGTAAAACTAACGATTCAAAAGTGCTTGTAAAAATCTATTTGAGTAAAGTACATTTTGATTTGATTTTTGATTATTACCTAGGGCCTTAAAGATGGAGTTTGTCATTAAATTTAATTAGGTCTATAAGACCTATTGATATTAATTTGCACACTTATATTGTCAATTTCGTTTACTTAAAGTTAGTCTGTAATAGCATAAACGTTAAGAAATTTGCTTTCTATGATTATAGTAGACTAAAATCGACAATATCTGTAATCTAAATAGATAGTGGCCTGTATCATAAATTCTTTCTTAAATGCAATGAATGGCACGTAAATTTATACATCTAAGTATACTGTGTGTTTAAGTACAACGGATATTAATAGGCAAATTTTCATAGGTTTGGAAAAAATATCTTGAATGATTCGTTTTGACCATTTCCGGTGCATTGTTCCGTGTTCGTTGCATTTAAGTATTGTGCATTCTATTTCAATGACGTCTCATCTACAAAATTGTTGAGAGACAATGGTATTCAGTAAAAATAGTCTTTTATGTAGTGGGCATTGCTTTCTATGTGTTTTAACAAAATTTGTATAATTTGAACTCTGAATGAGCGACATTTCATCGAGGCCTTCTTATAGTGTGATACTTAAATAATAATATTTTATCATAAATAATTATGTTTTACTAGCATTGCCCGCGGCTCCGCCCGCATGCAGATGACCAAAAACTAAATTCTTAGGTTTTTACCTCAGACCAATAACATTTTTTATTGGTCAACAACAACAACATATTAGTATACTCTTACATTGCAGTTTTTGCACTTTTTCTCAGAAATGAGATATTTTCTCGCGGTACAAAGTATCCTATATATTGACCCGGATAACCAGCTATCACCATACCAAATTTCATCAAAATCCACTGGAGGAATTTACTGTGATGCGGTAACAGACAGTCAGACAAAAATTCTAAAAACCAAAGATTCATCCTCTGTATCGATAATAATGTTTATTTTAATAAGATTTTCCAAAAAATATTTAATGTACAGATTCGGCTTAGTTACAATTATATTATATGTATAGATTAGTCTTCAAAAATTTGCAAAATCTTGCTTTTTTTCATCTAGACTTATTCTTTTAAATTACGACATTTTCGTGTTCTCTCGTAGAAGCGAACTTTTCCAACCTGAACGCACCCGCATAGCGACTAGAGTAAAGCTATTGTTCCATTGAAAAAAATCAGGGTTGAGCATTTCGGCGAACCAGTAACAAAACAAGCTAGCTACCTGTCACATAATGCATCAATATAATGCTTCAATACTTTATATTCTAAAACAGGTAATGTTAGCAATTTAAACCAGGTAGGTAGAGGTACACTGAATTGTTATTGAATTCAATGAATTTATTTTAAATTTTTGCTCGGTATTTATTTAAGTTAGAATTTTTAAAAGATTCGCTTTGTGTCCTTTAGAGACACATTTTATCTTTGAAAACGATTAAAAATAGTATTGTTTCAAAAACAAAATTAAGAAAAATACGAACTGTTTGCTGTAATAAATATATTGCAAAAAATTGGTCGATTTTCATATTTTTTATGTAGAATCTAACGTGTGTGAGTGGAACAATTTTAGATATCGAAATAATATAGAAGGGATGTGGATCCGTGGTGTCGCCCTTTTGGATATAAGGGTAGCTAGGGAAAGCATCGATTTTCGTCACCCTACGATCCGCACGGCGGGGGCGCGGCAAGATGGCGGAGGGTCCCGGACCTGCCTCAAGCGCACTCGCTGCTCCAAGGTCACGAGCGCCATGTGCTCCCACCGCATAGACGCCCGAAATACAGCATCTCGATAAAGAAACTCGACTGTCTCTCTCGCACCTACACAATAATGCCACTCGATACTGATTTTAACACGGTTAGGGTTGACATTTTTGGTGCAATGACTTTGCCAACATTTTTATGTTACGAAAGAATAGATATTATAATCGTCGCATCGACTATACGATTTGTTTTTAATTATACAGTATTAAACGTAAGCTCTTAAATTTATCCAGTTTATAATATACCGTAATATTAAAATGTATAATGTTGACCTTGTTCGACAAGTTTTTTGTGGTTAATAATGTTTGAACAACATATTATATGCGAATACTCGATATCATTAGTTATAATTTTCTAAAGCGAGTCAAACGTTTAATGCGCATCAACCCTAATCATAGCGAACCTCTTTTATCTAAATTATGGAAAATTTAGGAATGTGCCGTAACATTCAACTTTCTCGCACGCACAATGCGTGTATATTGCTGTCTCACTCTACTTTCCTTACCTACTGAACATGAGGGTTAGTGGTAGGGAGCACACAAAAGTTTTAGGATAGATTTTTTTCGCAATCTGCACCATTTGAAGCATCCCCATAGTGCCAGTGCAACATTAGACCAGATTAGTACATCCGCGTCACTCATATACTTGTTTTCAGCTGTTATTTTTAGAGTTGTCAACTTTTTGTTAAATGTTTCCATCCGGCGTGTGTGATAAAATCTCGTAAATATAGTGTAGTGAAATGTTTTTATATTATTTAAACAGAACTGTAAGTTAATTAAAATTGTTTATTTGTTATAGATATAATGGGTGTTTGTTCAACAATTCATATTTATTGTGTTTTATGGATACTTGTTTCCATGATAAAAAATCGAGTTCTATGATGTATGCTAGCTTGTTTATCACTTTCATATTTTATAAATCACCTCTGAAGTAGCTACGATTATGCCACTACAAATAAATTTACTCGTCCCACATAAGTAGTACCTAATAAAATTAAAATTTTGGAATATTTATTATAATTTTAGATGGCAAAGTTAAAATTTAGATAGCAAAGCAAAACAAAATAATATGTCATCATGTAATCAATAGTTAAATTATTACGTCAATAGTTATATTAATATTAAATAATAAAAAAAAGTTTATAGTACATAAATTTAAAGTATATAGTAAATAATTTTTGTATTAGATATGCTAATTTCTTAATTAATTTACTTAGAAATAATACAAATAATATTATTAACAAATGGCCCACAGATAGTCTACCGTTGTGATGCAGTAGGGCTCATATTTGTCCAACACATGGAAATGGGTTGGATTTTCAAACGAATGCCAATTTTGAATGTTTCTCTATATCTGGTTGAAAAACTGTTTAGGAACCAATACTAACCATGAAGTAAAAGCGAAAGAACTCTAGCAATTCTGTGTCCAGTACCTATCTAGTATCTACATACCTTTTCTACAAAATAAAAATAAATTACTATTACGTATATTTTTATAAAGATAATATTAACATGCACATTACATATGTGTAATAATTACCTCATGTTCCTCGTAATCATAATTACCTAAAATTGTCTAAAAATTACATTGTATTGTTGCAGGTCTAATGACTTGACGTGCGCGTCATAATGACGTCGTTCGCAAACATGACGCAGTCCCTTGCTGCGAGCTTACCAGCTACATCCACTTCGGCTACAGGCTCCAGCCACAGCTCTACCGAGCAAGAAGACCCCCTCGCCATGTCTCATATCATCTGCAATCTTCTCGAGAATATGAACAAACCATCCAGTCTTCAAGGTGCCTCTGCCTCTTCGTCTTCAACTATGCCTTACGATATCTGGGCATTGCCTTCCTGTAGTTCGTTACAGAACGCTGCCACGCCTAACGCTCGTGAGTATGGCTCTGTTTCTAACAATAATAATCAAAGTCACTCCAAAGAGGACAACTCTAGCGGATCTCCCGGTACCTCGTCGTCTGTTTCAATTAGCTGTTTCCGTTGTGAAGAGCGCTCTCCAACCACACGTTGCCTTGAATGCAATGATTTGTTTTGTCACGAGTGCTGTCACAAAGTTACTTCAGATTGCCAGTTAAGAGAGCATACTCTGCTGCCTATTCATCAAATATCACCTATTGGAGCCAGACCTAACTCTGTCACTAATGAAAAGGAAGTTATGTATTGCGAACTTCACGGCGATCCTGTAAGATATTATTGCGAAGGTTGTATTATTTTCATATGTCAAGAATGTACCTTATGGGTCCATAAAGATCATTGTTACTCTCCTATTAAAGGTGCCCTTGACATGTGTAGAATCGGAGTTTTCAGAGCTATAGAAGATACCAAAACTGGCACTAAAGCTATAAAAACTGCTATAGATAGAGCAGTAGCAATGTCGAAAGCTTATGAAAAGGAAACTGCAGAAGCCAACATGAAAATTCGTAAAGCAATGCGATGCTTTGCTCAGGCAATTGAGGACCGTGAAAAATATTTGCTAGACAAGGTTGAGAAGATGCGTCAAGCAAAGATGAATGAATTGACAGACCACATGAATACACTTCGTGGTATTCTCGCTGGATTAGCGCATACCAACGAAACTCTAGTACGCAGTATGGATTCTGAAGGCATTGATTTATTCATGGCCAAAGAAAAAGGAAGAGCACAAGTAGATTATTTCTCGTGTATGTTTAAAAATATGTATGTAACTGAGGAACGTATTATGTTTATACCTCCCAATTACGATTTAGTAGATCAGATTAAAAGACAATGTGATGTCCAATCTGCTCCAGTAAATTCCATGCATTCTTTGAACTCTTCCTCATCTCTTCAATCACGTCAATCATTACTACATTCATTACAATCGGCTCAAACATTTTCACCTTTATCTTATCAGATGTCCACTACAAATAGCCTAAGGTCATTACCAGATTTTACAAATAGCCATACACGATCCACAAACTATTACGATCATAGTATCCCGACTAGTATAGCTATGGACTCAAATACTTCACGTGGCATTGGTCAGGCAATTCCTGGATATTGGATGTCAGTCGCTGTAAAGCCCACAAGAAGCCCAGTGTCTGGTGTTCCCATGTTTTCATTTGGTAGAGAGGGTCAAGATGAAGGTCAAGTGTCCAGACCCTGGGGCTTATGTGTAGATAGAGAGGGTAATATAATAGTTGCGGACAGAAGAAATAATAGAATTCAGATATTTAATAGTCGTGGAGAATTTAGAACAATGTTTGGCTCTAAAGGAACAGGACCTGGCGAGTTTGATCTTCCGGCTGGTATAACGACCGATACTTATGGTCGTATAATCGTTATCGATAAAGATAACCACAGAGTTCAGATATTCACTTCATCGGGTAATTTTATTCTTAAATTTGGTTCCTTCGGTAAAGAATGTGGACAATTTCAGTATCCGTGGGATGTAGCCGTTAATACATTAGGTAATATTGTGGTGACTGACACCCGTAATCACCGTATTCAGCTATTCACTAGTGACGGTACTTACATTACTAAATTTGTTTTCGAGGGAGCCAATCCCGCCAAAATGCTTAAAGGGCCTACTACACCAAGAGGTGTTTGTTTCACAACTTCAGGAAATATTATTGTCTCTGATTTTGAGAATCATCGGTTGCTTATGGTAGATCCAACTTTATCGAAAGTTCTTCATTGTGTAGGCCGAGAGGGTTCAGGCATCGGTGAGCTTAATCGTCCATCAGGAATAGTTACCGATGACGATGGTCGAATCATTGTAGCCGATTCTAAGAATCATCGTGTGCTTGTATTTACGTCAGAGCTTCGTATTTTATGGGCTGTTGATCTAAAGAGTCCTGGTCTTGACGATAAAGATAGACCGAGCGACGTGGCTCTTACCACTGAGGGTTTCTTAGTTGTATTATTTGAGACTTTACCTGATACCGCTCGCGATATAACATCTCATGGCAAGCAATACATCAAAGTTTATTGACTTACGTAGAAAATCTGAGCAGAATGAATTGTATGGACCGTAGGTCCATTATTATTATTATTTTTTTGTTTAAGTTGTGATTGCTTTCATAATGTGCCAATTTTATTATTAATGTTTGGGAAATCTGAATCGAGCCTAGCTTGTATGGAGAAATGTTCCATGTTCTTAACGACAACTTGCATAAGTTGTTGTTATTCAAAACATTCTCCAAATTTTTATTTTTTTTTATTTTTTTTGTTACCATATTATTTTGATTTCTGTTTCATTGAGGACTAGTCTTTAAAGACCAAACTTTTTACAGTGCATATGCACATTATATTTTGCACTGATTATATCTGAATATTTTGACGATAGGTTTTTCTACCTGAATACTGAATTCGTGCTGTAATTTTGTCCGACATTAATATTTAGCATTGCATAATCAAAGAATATAATCTTTCAAGATTATTATAAATAAAAGATCACATTGTGATTTAAAAGATGTTTTTATGTGAGATAATTTAAAAATTAACTTGAAAAGTATTTTTTTTTCAAAATGTTACTTTGCGTTTTTAACTTGGTTAAATAATTATGTAATTAATACACACGGTTGATGCGTATTCTTATATTAAGTTATTTTGCATATTAATTTAGGTATTATATATTATATTTTTTATCAATGCGATGGCGGTCCTACGCCCATAGTTAAAATAATTAAAAAGTAGCTCTTTTCTCAGCTTAGATTTTAATCTTACGTAGAGTTTGAAAGGGTTAAAGGGAATAAGGTAGATGAACTAAGAAATTATTGCAATAAAACTTGGAGACTGACTTTAGAAGACTGTCTGAAAGACGTGGTTCCGGAGCGGGCGGGACGGTTGTTGCCGATCAACGCGTTATTTTACCTAATGCAATTTTTAATTACCAAAATTTAGTTTTTATTTTAACATTGTTTTGAACGACGACTTTATTGGCATTTATATATAGTTGAATGAATTTTGTTTCGACGTTACACTTGAAAAATTTATTTAAAGGAGCATATTAAGTTCTTTTAGTTATTTAGTACGTTGCTAGACAAACGACTGTTTCATTAAATCAACTTTTATTATCAACTGGCTAAGCGGTAAGCTGTTCTTCATATTCCTGGAGGTAGTGCTATAGATGGTAGATAAGTAAAATAATCTCTAGCAAATAATTGTAAGATCCTGTACGGTCTGCCACAACAACTTCTACTTATGTAAACTTTAAGCGTAAAATAAGCCGCTATGACGCACTCGTTGTTTAAATTAGCTAATTTATAGATATTCATCTACAAAATGTTTTTTTTTTTTCAATTAGTATATAACGTGTGTTTGTATACTGTCAAAATTTGTGTTAGTGCAAATATTTTAGCAAAATTGTTTCCTCAAAATTGTATAAATTGACCTTATAGTCTATTTTTTAATTCTGTCGGCGAGTGAGTCGATGGTGTTAGATTTAATACACTGTGTTCAGTCAATATGTGTTCACTATTTAAATATAGTTTTAGAGTAACGTATTCGGATCGAGCGGTTCGAATAGCCTCTTGTTGTCTAGATTAAATGCGTGATGTAGTTTTTACTCACGTCGTGGTGTTGCTTCCGATCTTAAGTATAATTCAATGCTGGAGTTGTAGTTATATATTATCTTGTATTGACGAATAAAATTTTAAGGTTATAGTATTCAAGGAAATAGTTAAATTAAAGTTAATTATATAATTTTAGTCGTCTGTCCCTAATATACTCCCTTATGGGATTTTCTCCTAAGAACCTGCTTTTACTAAGGTAGAGTAGAGCTACGGCTCTCTTATTATCAATGAGCATTTATTCACATCCTATCGAATCTTCATAACACCAAAGTCTATATTATATCTATATATTGATAGGATCTAACTCCCAGCATATGTAATGTATGTAATCCTTATCAAATATAACTGCTTCGTACGTTTACTCTTTTATCTAATAATAAAATAGTGATTTATGCATATTACGAACTCATTATACAGTATACAATGATTTAGAGGGTAGTATGTAAAGCCATGTCACTCAAGCAATGTTATCCCTACAATGAAAATATATTAATTTGTACTGAAAACTAATTTAAATACTACTAGATTAACATTTACACGTATGTACTTAGGTTTAGAATAGTATAAGTTTTCAAAGACCTATCTCCTTTAATCTAGTGACGTTCATAGAATTAGAACTTGACACTTCAAGCAAAAATTTTCTGTCACAGTAATTAAAATATTAGATATAGTTAAATGAACTGATTTTTATGACTGCAGATATAGTCTGAGGTAACTTAACATTATCAGTTAAGATGCGAAAATTATTGTTTGAAGTCTAGCGTGTATGATTCGTATATTTTATCGCGCGATTATTTGCTTGACGCTGTTACCGCAAAATTCGGGATTATTATTAAGAAAAATTATATCTAGTGATAAATTGAATTTTATTCCCATATTTAGAGAATAGGATCTTTACAATTGACACTACGATAAGGAAGCTTATTAGTTTCCTTAAGGCCAGTAATGCGCGAACGTAGCTTTGGCGACGGCTATAGGAAAATTATATAAAAGTTACAATAATTGCAAAAGTGCAGTATTTGCGTCTTGACTGTCAATTACTAAGTTCCGCGAAACTGAAGTATTTATCATGATTTTGTTTTTTTTTTCACTTCATATCATTAATCGAAATTAATTTAAATCAAACTTATTTTTTTTTCAGTGCCATTATAAAGTATTATGTTATTTTTAAAATAATGTGTTGCATAAAATGCATTTTTAATTAAATTTTCCAAAATTGTCCTTAATTTCCAATCAAATCAACATTCATTTTATAATAATATGACGAATCTCAAAGTCCATATTTTGTCTAACGTATAAAAACTTGGTGGTTTTGCAAAGCAAACTCCTTTACACCAGACCCAGAGACTAGTATCCACTAGAATGTTACCAGTCTTACATTATTAGCTTAAAGGCTCTTTTTATCATCCGCTGTAAACTCTCTGATATCATGACAGAAATCTGGCCTTTGATCCACAAAGAATATAAATAGTTATGAACCCTCTATACTCATATACTGACTCGACTCATATATTAGCTTTCTATCGACAATCATACTCTATCAACAATCGTAATTTCTGTCATTTTATCAGGTGGAAGTGATAATGAGCGTGGGTCTTCATTTATAACTAAGTTGGCTCTAAGCGGCTTAAATTTTACTTAATCGTGAACCGCATTTAATTCGGTATGATTTGTTTATGTTTCTTAGATTTATTTTGTTACTTGGTTTAGTGGATTGATCTTCGGCGTTTTAGAGTGACTGGCTACAGTAAAAGGTCTGCAAAAAAGCTTTGAAATAGCACAAATTCGGTATGTTGTAAATTTTGTACGCGGCAGGTAGCCACTCTAAAACACCACCACTTTATAAAAGTGATTTAAAATTTTTCAACAAATAATAAAAAAAGCTTGATATAATCACGAAGTCAAGAGATTTGATCGCCAGTAAACGAAGTACTATGTGAAAGCTGCTAGGTGCTAGCAGTAAAATTGTGGTTTTGTGATAAATACAATAAAATTGAGAACTTAATATTGAAGCGTGATGATAATTTTGTACGATTTTTTAACGTTCTGTGTATTATGAACGAAAAAGGAAAATTTCAGCTGCTTCCTTGTAAAAAAATTGTGGGGCTACCTGCATAGGATCGTGGGTGAGACGCAATATAAAACTGCATAATAATAATAATACAATTATATGAGATTCTAGCAAATTGTATTTGAGCCATTCTATTTGTGCTATTTTTAATGTTAACTAGGCGCTTGTGTTGTGTTAGTCTTAGAGTAATGCAAACGTTCATCTCCCCTTTGCTAAGCCTTATAATAGAATATATGCGTGTATCAGTAAATCAATTATCATAATATTAAAGTATATTTAAACATAATATTGTAACCAAGTATGAATAGTGGATACGCATTGTATTAACTCCTCGATGCCTCTCATAAATATAATGCATTATAAAATTAATCGTAATAAAGAGTACTCTTGTAACTTATATAAAAATATCAGAAATAAACAAAGGGGCGATGAACGTGATCGTGTATCAGGTGTAACTAAGTAGTTGTAATTTAATATTAACCCTGTAAAGGAACAGCTCGTTTAGATTCGACCTGTTCTTTTTGCGGGGACCAATATGACGGAAGCCATTACTGATGCATTTATTTCATAAAGATCTCGATTGTAAATTTTATTACTGTCAAAATTGAAATGGTAGAGAAGTATTATTAGCTATAAACTATGAACAAAAACCGGTAAATCTTTAGAGAATAATTATAACAGTATCGCATCAGTGTGTCGGTAATGACTTCTCATATTGGGGTATAGTTGTGTTCAATGTTTAAGTAACCACATCTACCTCACTTGTAATACATTAAAGACTGATTGGAATTAATGAGACGGTGGTCTGATCACCGCTTAAGAAGTCTGTTGTCTACTAGAATAAGCAGAATTCTTACGAATTGAACTCTCTTCTTTACTTATAATAGCGTCCAAACTTTCTGAATGCAAAATTTTTTGTTGCAAAAATGTAAACTAGCAGTTTTTGTTGTGCAAAAGTCGACAACAGTCTTTTTCTTTTTATATCTATATCTTATGTTACACTCCTGTAATATTGTTGAAAGAAGACTGATATTTTATAAATGTTCCTATATTTTAATTTAGAATAATTTACTGCCTACCATATTTCATTTACATTATTCTTTAACCTTCGGTAATAATCATTACTTTGATTCTTATAATCTTATCAATTGTGCATGACGCTATATATGTCATGAATTTTTTGAAAATTTTAATGGAATTTTGTATGAAAATTAATCAATGATTGATAGAAAATGGACTTTTATTTTCCTATCCTATCCCCTACCAGCTACTTTATACTTATTAAGTAATTGTATCACATAAAATATATGTATAGGTATATAGCATGCTACAAAGTTATTACGTAATTATGTTATTCCCATAGTTCACATTGTTTTTTTATATGTAAATAAAAACTATTTTCATGTAATGAAAAGAGTTATTGACTAATTATATATTATTGATGTCAAATATCTATTAATTAGATACATAGCAACAGTTATTTCAAATTTGTTACATTTTGAATAGCTAAATAATTATGGGTCACCACGTAAGTGTTCTTGTTTCAAGTTTAGGAAGATTTTTTGAATATCCTGTAAAAAGGAAACCTATATGCTTTTATAGGCAAGAGGATTTTACAGCTACAGGTGAGCTTTTTAGAAATAATACACAATAAAGTTGTGTTGGAGACTGCACTGAAAGATATGGTTTAGTACCTACATAGGACGCAGGCCCTGTAGGTCAGGATTTTTCAAATAGGGGAGGTGATGGGGAGTCTGAATAAATAAACGTGTTGGTAAGATAAAATGTTTCTTTTTTTTATGGTCCAAAATATAAAATTCCAATTTCACTCAAATTGGTTAAACCGTCAAAGCTTGTAAAAATAGAAAACTGATTCAATTTTAAATATTTGGTTTTATATAATATTAATGTGAATGATTCTAGGAGAACCTCAAAGAAAGGCAACTGATATTCAAAAAGTGACCATGACTGATTATGATAAGCTCGTAGAGCAATTTTACAAGCGCCTTGCTGAGCAACGACAGTATAATCAAGTAAGTTTCGAATGGTATATATATTATATACGCAAAATATTCCGAGTTCCGACTCATATATGGTACAAATATTTACACAAAAAATTACGTACCCACGTGTCTCCAATGTAAATAAGTAAATTGGCACTATAATTGTTTGACATGTGCGAGGTCTTGGAACTACTGATGCAAATTAACTTCTATCCAACTGAAGTCTTTGTTCTGTGGCTTTTGGGTTAATTTATTTAAACTGTATATAATGTTACCAAAAGTTATATCTAAATTAAGGATGAAATCATGCTTTATCCGCTGAATTTAGCAAAAGAAGCGTAATGCTACTTACAATCAGTTTGATCACCAATTGCCTAGTCTATAAGTACAAAATCTTACACATTTTTGATTCGTTTAAGTTACTGAAACAAAAGTCACTATATATTTTGAAATAGGTCTTCAGAAATTTGATGAAAACCGGTTACTGTTATGGGCAAATAACATCATATGTATTTCAGGAAATGAAAGAACAGGACAGAAGGTGGAGCATGCAGAAGGTAGTTCAAAGGTTCCCAGGGTGGAATGAGGTTACCATTGCAAACTTGCACAGCCTGTTTCTGCTATTCGACAATCAATCTAATGGAATGCTAGGTTTTGATGATTTGTTAGTGTTAATACTCCTCTATCTAAGTACTCGTAAGTGCTATAGGTACATTCATACATAAATATTTAATTAATTGTCCTTTATATTTTTTATTTAAATATGTATTTAAGTAGTAATACAGTAGATATTTCTAAAGACTAACAAAATATTTTTTGGAACATTAATTATTATCAATGCTCTAGTCATGGGTTTTTATATTTATAATATGTATGTATTTAAAGTTATATGTGTAGTGTATCAACTATCTGATATCTATAACACAAGCGTCGTAGCTTACCATGGAACTTGATGGTGCTGTCGTTGTTAGATGTTAATTTCAAAAGAAATCTGTTTACCGGAATTCAGTAAAGAAGAAGTTAACATTTCAATCGACTTAATATTTTTAATTAAAATGTGAAAGTACAAAATGTAACTTATATCACTGTATACTGTTCGCAAGCAGTAAAATAAAAAAAAATCTGTTCAGTTGTGCGGTGCTAGAGAGCTTAGGAGATGAAACATCGATGGAAATTCGAAAAGAGAAGTTTACTGAAGCAGACAGTGACAATGATGGCTGGGTCACTTACGATGAATTTTTATCGGTATAAATTTTAATTCTTTTAATAATTTTACACTTTTGTTGAAAAGGATTATATTAGGTCAATAAAAGCATTAAATAATTCAGCTTGCACCACTTTGTGCAAGTAAAAATTAAGTTCTATACTCACTTTTTTGATAGCTCTCTACTACTTTTCTGATAGCAGAGTGGACCGTGGATCGTAACCCCATGGTCTTTGTGGTCTGCTTCGGCAGACCTGCCGTCGGGGCGTCCTGGTTAAATACATAAGCGATCCTGCGACGCCCCATTAAGACGAGGGAGGTTCTGTTGGCTTTTAGTGGGTAATACTGGCTTTGCCGGTGAGTCCCACTGCCCACACTTCGTGCATGCATTTCCCAACGTTAAAAAAAATATACCTACTTGATATCCTAATTTTCTACTAACTAACAATAATTTATTTTAGTTGGTTTACAACTTTAGTCCACAAGAAGATGGTAACCTATGTGGTTTAGCGCAGCTCTGCAATGAAGTCGCAGAAAATATACAGTTTGTTAGCAATTTGACTGTGGGGGAGCAACTGGAATATGGATTGTTTTAAATAAAGGACGAAAATATTAAAAATATGTAATTGTTTTTTTTAAGTAAATAAAATAAAGTAGATAAAATAGGGTTTAAAATCAGTGTTTAAAAATCATTCTGTGTAAGAAATTATTCCTTAGATGTTATATTTAATTCATTAATTATTTTTTTGAATACGGTCAGAAAAGGACGATTTTACGAAGAAGTATGTATATAGTAGGTAAAAGTAGTTTCCTCTTGTAAAATTTATAAACTTAGGTATTATTTTAATATATTATTTTCAAGCAAATAAAATAACATTACATTTAACATTTTTTATTTAGAACGCGATTTGAAATAGTTAATATCTTGGTGGGTTGTCGTCACTGAGAGAATCAATATCGCTGAGTTCCGCGAGTGCGGGGTCGCATGCGAGGCATTGGTTGCCGATTTCTTGCCAACACTCATTGCAATACACGAACGGACATCTCGTACTTATACATGAATGCCATATTTCCACTGAAGTAAATCCTGAAATATTGTAGTTCTAATAAAAATTAGATGTGTTAATGCACTTACGGCTATCTGATAATATTTATAATTTATGTTAAGATTGATTAGGATGATGAGATTCGTACCCCGACCCCATATACAATTGCCAGTCAGCGTTGATCCTTTAGCATTTCCTATAAGTCTTTCGACCAACTTGCCTACTGTCTATCTCTACATAAAATAACATCGGTCCAAGAAAATTTTAAATGATTCATGAAAGGTACGAGCGAAGCAATAAAGAACTATAATATATTTTCTAAAGAAAGTCTTTATAAAATATTTATAAATACATAGTTTTTAATAATTTTCTACCTAAAAGAGCTCCACTATACTAGAATTACCATTCGCTGGGTAGTTTTCAAATAACTAATTACCACACAAGCTTTTATCCCTTCTTTAACCCTTCAGGGGTTAAATTTTCAAACATCCTATCCAACACCTTCCTATTCAGATTCGTCAATCTACCTGCCATTATGACAAGTTTGTAGCATTGATACTTTTTCAGCTTTCGTGATTGATCAGTGGTAGTGGTAACAAGGTATTTTAAAATTTATATTTGTAACAAATTTTTAAATGACTGTTCTGTCTAAAGTAGGTATCTACTTATATTAAAAAGAAAATTACGTTGCTTGTGTTTAATATGTCTAGGCTCAGTTTCTTCACAAATCAAGCACTTCATCCTAGCAGCGGATAATGTACCGAGCCAATCCATCTGTGGGTATCTCATCCTCAAACTCAACAGGTTCTCGCCTGACAGGTAATGAGCGCGTACAGCCTGAACTGCTTTCCGTCGTAAAGTTTTATCCATTTTCACACGTTTCTTGAGAATATCGTTGTATAAATGCAAAATTCTTTGTTTTTCTCGTATTCGATAGAAGTAACTGCAGATTAACCTTAGGAAAACGTTTGTCTTTATGTTATTAGATACGAGTACATGTTTAGTTTCTCTAGACAAAGTATAATAGCCCACAATAAAATATATCAGTTTTAGTAGAACTAAATATTCAAATTTCATTGTTCTATGGCTTATAGGCATGTCATTTAGGCACAAAGAACCAAACATTTTGAAATTATGCAGGTTGCAATTGATGTACCTACTTACATATTATTATAATCATTTTTGTTTGGGTGCTAAGCTTTAAAACTCAATAGAGATATTATGTATGCAACGGTACTTAAATATGTACCTACAAATAATAGGTAATTCACGCTTTACTCAGAAAAAAAGAATAAGGGAAAGTTTGGATCAATGTTCGTTACTCAATCGACACAGAGGAAGATTATAGTCTGGAATAGCACATAGGTTACTTTTTATCCCGGAAAAAGGTACGGTTCCCGTAAAATAGAATTGTGAATCCGAGCGAAGCGAGGGTAAGTAGCTAATTTATAATATAAATTTAATATTTATATCAGAATAATAAAAGCGTATACAGATGTTTAGACAAAATCATACCTTCGTAACTTTAGCGTGTAAGGATTTATATACAGCAATATCAAGATCCACAGGTATCCTCCATAAATCTTGAAGTAGTATGAAGTAGGCATTGCTCGGGGACACGGCAGGCATGTCTCGTTAGATATCGTTATATTGCTTTTATTTAAAGCCAATTCGGTGAGAATTTTACGCATCATGTTAGAGAGCTGACCTTTGCCTTCTACCTGGGATTGATTAACCATATTATGACATTTTTACTTTAAACTGTTTTGTTTTTTACTATTTTTATGGAATTTAATTTTTGTTCTTTTTCTCACTCCTCGTCGAATATTAATTGTATAGATAACATTAATTTTTGTTTTAGTTTCCTAAATTATGTTTTATACAGAAAAATATATACTTATACCTATCTTCATAATTTTATAGTGGGTATAATAATGGAGAATTCAGATATTCTGAAGAGACTACTTGGCGATGACAACTGCTGTGTCAAATAAATCTACTTGATTTTGGGACAAAAACAACTGTAGGTTCGATACCCGTTCAAATTAAATACTTATATTCACTGTACAGATTTCTAATAATTATGTTTTTGGGAAGCACTCCTTAACATAATTTAGCGGAAAAAATCTGAGTGGACTCTATATTGTTTCAGGTTACATAAATACGCCTAATTGTATTAAATTCTACCTTTATTTCAATATCTTGGTCTTCCAACTGTGAGATGGGCTCGAGAGCATATTGTCTTACAACATCCAAAGCTTCATAAAATAACCGATCTAACATTACGAAAGTTGTTGCTGTTATGGCTTCGAGCATGACTTTAAGAATCTGCGTCAATAATTTACTGCGTTCCGATGGTATATATGTGGCTGAGTGTACGTCTACGTACCTATTTCTTTCCATCTAAATGAAATATTTTATTTTTAAGTTCGAAGGAGTTATATAGTTTTAAACTATTAAAGAATAAATACATTTTATATAGTAAAATTTATATAGTAAAACGAGTAAACGATTGCATATTTTATTTACATTTACGAGTATTTTTCTCCCGAAACTGCTCGTATGCAGTTGTTGAAATGATAAAAAAGGCCTATATCATTATGATTTTATTTTTATCAAAATCCATTCAGTACTTTTAAAAGAGTAACAAACATCTATCTATCCATCCTCACAAACTTTCGCGCTTATAATATTTATAAAAATATGCATTTATACATGCATTTCTGTGCTCTAATTTTCAACCCAAAGTGTAATTATATAGATATACCTAATGTAAATATTATGCGAAGTAAACTATTAATGGAGATTTGATTTCTCTAGTGGTTAGTTTTGAAACAGTTTATAGTTCTACTCATTTAAATTAATTAATTTACTAACTATACTACTACATACATAGACTAATACATACGTATGTATGTATGTATTTAGTAGTATAGTTAGTAGTGTGTATGTATGTTTGTTTGTATATGTGTATATTTATATTATAATTGATATTTGTGGTTTGTATTTACACTGCACCATTATTTTTATATTTTCTCACGCTTGAGGGTTTCTGGTAGAGATCTCTTAAAGAGATAAGTCATCTTTTGTACACATGGTATCTGTCTAATCTGTTTTCACTTTTGTTTTTTTTCTGGTAAATAAATACATACATTATATTGTTTGTATAATTTGATTTAAACTAAAAAATAATAAAAAAAAAAGTAAAAGTTACTTGAGCTACTTGTCGGTAACTAATAATGCAATCTAATTCCTAAACAAAAAGTTTATTTACAAAAATGTTCTTAATAGACTGTTTAATGGAAGTTTAAAGTTAAATACCTTTTTTAATGGTAGAAGCGTGAATTCGTTTTTCCTTCGTCGTTTTAAATCTAACTTTTTAAAATGACCCGTAATATAAACATTGTCATAATCAATACTGGTCAAGTACAGATCGTGGTATTTTATTGCCGCTACTGCTATGCGAAGAAACAGTAGAGCTAGGCAGATATTTAGAAAGATTTTCACTGACTTCATTATCAGGTATTTCTCTTCAAAGGCTTGTAGCACTCGCTGACCAGTTTCCTTAGCGTCCTAAAACATACATACCACTGTGCCTTTTTTTGAGCATTTTTTTTGTTTTGTTATTATTTTTATTTTATTTTATTTGAGATGGATTCGTGCGTGTACAATTTCAGAATCAAAAATGTTACGGAAAAAAGAGCTGAACAAATCTATGGGATCGCGTGGAATTTAAGAGTCCAACCGATCCGAATATAATGATATTTATTATGATTTTTAGCTTCTGAAAGACCTAAATAATAATATATTTCATAGTACGGTCTACTTTGTCTGCTATTTTGAAGTACTCTTTATCTGTAGGTACTGATTCTATACCAATTTTCTTGTGAATTCGGCTAAATTAATTTGTTTTAATTATGTTTGTTATATTACGTATGTATTTGGCCCTTTTTAACGTCCCACTGTTGGGCACAGGCGTCCCTTCAATACGAGGGGGATCACCACGCTGGCCAAGTGCAGGTTGGGGGACTTCACGTGTTTTTAAAAATCTTTTTCCTTCATCGTAAAACAAGGATAAAAGGCATAAAATAACAAAAGGGTTTTACCTGAACTATATCAAACTGTTTTTCGTATGTTTCATTTCGCTGTAGATCAATTTCTTCTAAGTTTGTGGTCAATTTTCTTTTTACTATTTTGAGGAATTTAAAACCTTCAGATAAATTTGATTGCATCTGATTAAAAAAAAATATATATTATTTAGCACACAAATTCTTTCTATACATGTTATTTTGACTACTGATTTTATTAATATTATTATCCAACAGATATTAAAAAAAAGCAGTCATGAGTACCTACTGCCGACAGAAGTGAATCTTAAAACTATAAACAAACAGTTGTTATTTTTGGATATTCAAATTGTTTCATCTTGAATTAAAATTTGTAAATTAAAACTGTTTACATTTATCTGGTTTTGACATCTATCGGAAGTCGGAACTCTGAGTGTTAGCGTTAACACGTCACGTGACCATTTCGATGACGACTTCCATGAATTTACTCTCCATCCAAACCTGCCTATAGAAGTTTTCCTTTTCACTTCAAAAATTTATTTAATATACGCTACTATGACGCCTTGTACCTTTTTTACAACATCTATACATATAATAAAATTGTAACTAAGCCGAATCTGTACATTAAATATTTTTTGCACAATCTTATTGAAATAAACATTATTATCGATAAAGAGGCCGAATCTATAGTTATTAGAATTTTTGTCTGTCTGTCTGTTACCGCACAAAACCACTGGACGGATTTTAATGAAATTTGGTATGGTGGTAGCTGGTTATCCGGGTCAACATATAAGATACTTTTTACCGCGGGAAAATATCTTATTTCTGAGAAAAAATACAAAAACTGCAATGTAAGAGTATACTAATATGTAAAACCTAGGAATTTGGTTTTTGGTCCTCTGAACGCGGGCGGAGCCGCGGGCAATGCTAGTACTTAGATACCTGTAGTAATTAATCACCTGTACTCTACTTTTGCATATATCAGTTCCTAACAACCGTTTTAAATCGCAAATTCGCGGCAACGTCAGCGGCCAGCATATCATGGCATACGGCATGACCGCTTTACATGCACCATATGCTGAAGAAAAATCGTTTAAACATATGGATACTCCATGTGATATCTGGTTTTCGCAACGTATTTCCATTTTTTTATTATATTTAATTTCATAAGCCTTTCTTTCGGTTTTATTTGAAATCCTGACATGAAAAAAAAATAAACAGTGATGTAAATATGTAGTCAATATTAAAATAAATAATGGGTAACTTTGAGGCGACAAAATCTATAATAATATTTTATATTATAAAGCTGAAGAGTTTGTTTGTTTGGTTGCGCTAATTTCAGGGATACTAATCCGATTCGAAAAATTCCTTTTGCATTAGATAGCCCGTTAACTGAGGAAGGCTATATGCATATAATCCATTCAGGCATATAATCCCGGAAAAATGTACGGTTCCCGTGGGATAGAATTGTTTTTGTCTAGAGACGAACTTTTGAAATATTTAAAAAAAAAAACATTTGACATACATTTTTGTGTCTTCGTCGTTACGAACTATATCCAATAAGGCATCAGTTAAATGGTTTTCAGCCTTCATTTGTTGCAAACTCGTAGTACTTTCAATTTCATACGCTACTGGTGATATCACTTCAGCAATAGATCTATAGAAAAATATTAGATAATCTTCAAACAATAATCGATATTTTAAGTATCGAAACAAAATTATAAATAAAACAAGGTAAAAACCTCATAGTTTCCTTTATTTGCCGAACTTCTTTTTTAAAATTAAGCAGAGCTCTATTTAACGGGTGATATATTTGTCCAGACATCGCTTTAGATAAATTATACGATAGCTCCGTACTGCACGCATACACGCGTACGACTTCTTTCGCGTTTAGTCCCATGTTTGTTATAGGACCTTAGAAACAATAAAATTGTTTACAAAATTAAACTAAACCTACTGGTATTTTTTATTTCTTTTTATAATAGTCTAGAGTCCCCAACGGTTTTTTTTTAATTTTTAACAAGCTAAAACTTTGTATCACCGTGGGGGCGACAAAATCCAAACGCAGGACTGCGAAATCCTACCATTATATTTCTAGGATGATTTGATCATTAAATTATGCATATTTTTAATAATAATAAATTTTATAAAAATTTGCCGGATATTAATAAATTTTATGACGTTGTTATTTTAACAACTTCGGAGAGATCTATTTGATCCAAATCATCAGTTTTGTAGGACCACATTTTTTATTGTTTAATATTGGATTATCTCTAAATTAAATCGTAAAACAACCTGTTAGTAATAAATTTTAGACTATCACCGTTTTGAAATGTTCCGTATGAAGCCACAATTGTATCTACCACTATCAAATTTTCGCAGATAGAATAGTTGGGCGTCTCGCCAAAATGAAGCTACTCACAAAATTTTAGCTCGTTATTAATCATAAAAAAAAACCGTTGGGGACTGTAGAACATAAGTGTCACTTCGACAACTTCTCGTCTGTTGTTATTGGGCAACCTATGTGTAGGTAAATAAACGTCGTAAATAATAAACATACGCTTAATTGTAAAGCTACTCAGAACTTTTTCTGTAATTGATATTGATAATGATCTTATATTAAGGGGTTCCTACTCCAAGGTTGAATGTAGGTTGTAGCAGATATACTCTGAAATTGATGAGGTATGGTACAAAAAAGTTAACTAAAAATATTTCAGACTAGCATTGCCCGCGGCTCCGCCCGCGTTCCGATGACCAAATTCTTAGGTTTTACATATTAGTTCGTACTCTTACAATGCAGTTATTGTATTTTTTCTCAGAAATGAGATATTTTACCGCAGTAAAAAGTATCCTATATGTTGACCCGGACAACCAGCTATCAACATACCTACCAAATTTCATTAAAATCCCTCCAGTGGTTTTTCTGTGATGCGGTAACAGACAGACAGAATAAAAGTCTAAAAACTATAGATTCGGCCTCTGTATTGATAATAATGTCTATTTCAATGAGATTTTCTAAAAAATATTTAATATACAGATTCGACTCAGAATTTTATTATATGTATAGATTAACAGATCTCTACGTTAACACTACATGTGTCTCACACGTTTGAGTTTTATATATCAATCATTCCAAAGATTATTACCACACGCTAATACGGTAAAGAAACATATCCTATAGGTCTGTTAACTAATTTTTGTATGTTATGTGAACTCGGCCAACACGCGTTTGGTCAGCGTGGTCTTGATGATCGCTCTTCATTGACGGAAGACCAAAGCCCAGGAGTTGGATGTTAAAGTGCTGAATTATTAATATTATCTTTATATCTCGATTTCAAGCAATCTATAGACCTTAAGGTTTTTTACACGTAATTTGATATGGCAAAGAGTATGGAAGTAATGAAACTGCCACTACATTGGAGAAAACTAGAACGTTACGTGAGTTATGTTTATTAATCCCAGTTAAGTGATAAACCATTAGTTTTTCGCACGTTGCCGCTTGTTAGTCTTGTTTTATGATCTTTGATTATACTTGTGCATAAGTTTATGAGAATATGTAAATTATGATATCTAATAAATCTTATCTTATCTTTCTGTTAATAAAATATACCTTAGCCTGAATAATAAATAAATCTTTATTATATATATATATATATATATATATATATATATATGTTTTCTTTATTCTAGTTATTTATAGTAAATAAACAATTAAAATAATAAGTTACCAGCGACGACGTAGCTCAAAACAATCGCTTTCAAAACACCACGACCAGCTTTTCCACAAAACATAGGAAATAATAAAAGAGATATACAACGCACTTGTATCGATACTGCATTAGCTAACCCTAAAAAGTTTTAATTAAAATCTATTTTTTTTTATTTAATAAGAGGTAAAGGTAAAAAAATAATAATTACCTAGTATTAAGCTTATGAATAAATTAATAACTAGACCATTGTAAAATAGAAATGGTATATCCTTCAAGTAGAAGTAGAAGTACAGTTGTCCCAAGGCGAAACCCGCCATAAATACTATAAAGCATTTTATGCATCTTTTTTCATAATTATATATATAGGGACAACAGTAACAAAATATAAAATTTAAACATTTTTGTATACTTAAAAATAAAGACATTTTATTTTTAAAACTACTCATAGACGTCAGTTTCCATTGACAAGATAAATGAAAAATCTAAATATATTTTAAATAGTAAAAACTTTTTGCTTTCAATTAATCTATTACTCGTTATCGTGGATAAATACAAAAAATAACAATGTGGTGGAAACATACACAGAGAATGGACAGCAATACTCTCATGAAATTGATCACTCTCTAGAAAGAGAGAAAGCAAACGTGCGGCCAATATGTCTCTTTTATATATAAAAATTAAGTAAGTGATATAGGCATTTAGAAATAAAATTTATTAATAAATCAATTTAAATATATTATATCTGAACATACTAACAAAGAAAATATTCAACATAATAAAACTATAACATTTTAATATGGAAATGTGTAAATTCAACAAATTACAAATTAAGTAGTGCTTACACAACTTATTAACGCAAAAATAAAATTGTTTTTGTTTTTAGCTGTTTCGTAAAATTCGTCTGCTCCTGCAAGGCTGTGACGTAGTCCAATCATAATTCTAGAAAGAGACTACTACTGGCCGCACGATCACTTCGTCTGTCTTGCACTTTTCTGCAAGCATTCACTTTACAGCTGGATAGGAAACGCTCAGTCCATTCTCTATGTCTACGGAAAAATGCAAGAAAAAAACCAGTGTGGTAGAAATGAAACTCAAAATAATTTAAGTTAATCGTTTATTATAATTAGTCTTATAAACGTCATTACATTACAGAACTTATAACATATTGAGAAGATTACAAGCGCTTTAAACAATTCAAAGTATTAAATGCTCGATTCACAATAAATAATATTCCGTACAGATTTTTTCAGTCAGAGTACTGCACATATGACACTGTCTCATTCGGCTTATATAGGAATGAGCGAGAAAATATGCTATTTTTAATTTTTAAAATAATTTTTTTGTGCTTAACTTGAAAATAACTTTTAAATAATTATAAATCAAATGCTTTTGAATGCTAAAATGATCTAAGAACTTCAAAGTTGGACCACTGTAGCGTTAACTGACTCTAAAAAGTATTTTAGCTCAAATTTTATATATTACTGGAAGTATTAATATTTTTTTTATGATATCTTGTATATTTGAATTCCATTTGAAAATCCGCGAACCGCGTTAATTTATTCACGCACGCTACTGTTTTGAAAACACACAATTTACCAAGACATTCAAAGTTATACAGTTCTAATACGAAGGCTTTTTAAAATACATCTTTTTTTTCAAATACATGGAAACAAATGAGATGTCATGTTTGCGATTTTATTGATGTGATATTATTGTGAAATATTATTTTTAATATTTCATCATATTTCGAAGATTTTGTCTAGATACATGTATACATTTATATAAAATTGTAAAAACTACTTTCGACTGCCTCTTTTTAAAAAAAAAACAAATGCAATTAACTTCGTATTCGGAATTAGATTCTAAAAATGCATCATTCCCTTTCTTACCATACATTTCTTATAAATTTTACCACTTATAATCGATTGAAAAATCGAATAGAGCATTTTTAGTTAATATCTCTTTAAAGAATAATGTAAATATTAAATTATAGTTAAAATTATTGGGGTTACATTTAAATATAACTCCTAAATAATCTATTTGAGCCTTAAATAAAAAACGCAGTGTACATCAACTAACTATATTTATCGAGCCCGTAGCAATGAACACTTGACACTGATTAAATTATTCATTTTTTGATATTGAATAATAATATCAATCGAGTTTTTTAAGTGTATACAATATTAGCATTTATGAAAGTTTTGAGTTTAACATTTGTATTTCCGCTAACCATGCAGAGTTGATCCCTCATTCCTAAAGCCAGTATCAGAGACACGGGTCAAGTTAGGGCGATTACGCGAGGGCGGTGGGCGGGTCGCCGGCCGGCTCTTCGGACACTTCGGTGACCATGGGCTCGTCTTCTTCAGGGATCTCTAGTATTTTAGGTCCGTAGAGCAGCAGGTACGCGCAATGCCAGTCACCTAAAAAATATTTTTGATATGAAACATCTAAATGCATTTATATGTTTTTCAAATAAAGCATAATAATAATTATAATAATTTATTCTTATAAAATAACTGAAGGGGGGTTTTCATTTACTATAGATACTTAATCAGATATTTTCGAAGTCGGTGCCAGCCGATTAAAAGCAAAGGAAATCTATTTCGATACATATAAATGCATCAGAAATGTATGTATAATATTATAACTATAATTAGATATTCATATCTTACCTAGCATTGTCCGCTACATAAAACATATTAGAAAAACATACATCCATGTAGATTAAACATATAACTCTCCATCAGTTTCGCCGGAATCGAGTATATAAATAAATAAAACCAAAACAATACAAGACGCGTCTCACCCCCGCCGCTGAGCTTGAGCACCTCCTCCTCGGGCACGGGCGTGACGGCGTCGTCGTCGCAGCGCAGCCAGCCGCCGGCGCGCGCCACCCACGCCACGTAGTGCCCCGACGACGACGAGCGCCCGCGGTGCGTCAGCACCGCCTGCAGCCGGTAGAGCCCGCTGTTGTTGCTGCCCACGTCTAAAGGCAGAGTGCCGGAGTGGCATACAACTGAACATCACGCTGGACAATCATGATCTTAAATAATCTATACAGATAAATAACATTGAAGTGTCTGTTTGTAATGTCAATATAACAGCTTTTTACTAATTGCATATGAAATTGTTTACGATACTTATAAGAAAAAAATCAATTTTCCATATTTTTGTCTGTCTGTTTGTTCCAACTAATCTCCGAAACGGCTGAACTGATTGTGACGGGATTTTCACTGGCAGATAGCTGATGTTGATGTGAGAATAATAGCATAAGCAGCAATCACGTTATTATTTTTTACTTTTACATTTTTTTAAATATAAAAATAGCCTGTCAATTCTTAACATAATATATTAAATTTTTACCATTTTCAAACCAATATGGAACAATTGTTTTTCTTTTATTATCCTTTTTGCTGTCGCCGTGATTCTTGTTTTTCAAGTTCAATGACGATTCCACAGACGCATCTTCCAATTCCTGAATATAATATTTATATTATATAAATACATTTAATTTAAATATGTCAATTTAGCATAGGCAGTGGTAGCCCAGTGGTGACGCGCTCGCTTGGGAAACCGAGTGAAGCGGGTTCAAATCCCGGGTTTCGCTTCAATACGAGGGGGATCAGGCCATAGTCCACCACGCTGGCCTGTGACGCTGGCCAAGTGTGAGATGGCGGACTTTACATGTCTTTCGAAAACTTGCTAGGTTCTCTCAGATATGCAGGTTTTTTTCACGATGTTTTCCTTCACCATAAGGCTAAGTGGTAATCATGTTGCATATGATTCGCACATGAAAATATCAGAAGTGCGAGACCCGAGATTTGAACCCGCTTCACTCGGTTTCCCAAGTGAGCATGTTACCAATGGGCTACCACTGCCTTTATCCTCCAATATACTGACTCATAATCTTGTCCATTCTAGTAATTCCACACATCCATCTCAATAATCTTTCTTTCACCTGTTTCTTTCGCGGCTCATCATTCTTATTCATACATTACGACAGGTCTTATTATCCTCCAATCTGACACTCTAACCTTTCCTCCCATTTTCCCAAGCCAAAATAAATTCATTATATTACACCCCAATTTAGTTAATTTTATAAAATATTTTTTAATAGTAAAAACGCAAAGTAGAGACCGAAACAAATTATGGAACTTAAAAATAAAATTGATGGAAACTGTAATAATCCAAATGTCAATAATTTTCTGATTTAAAGAATTTGATGTATTAATAACACTCGGAAACACAGGTTTTGTTTTATGATGTTTCATAGCTGATTCTAAATGATTTTGCTAGGTTGATTACAAATCTAAAGTCCGTTTTCCAATAGCAGCTCTACTTTTTGGGATATCGATGGTAGGCGATGGTTTTTAACAAAAAAACAATATGATAATAAAATTATTAAAAAATATTAAGATTGTAATATTTATTTAAAGTTAATGATAATTTTACCTTAAATTTATTCCTCATGGGTGTAAGACGTTCTTGCAGTTCGGGTGTGCACAGCTCGTACACATCCAAATCTAACGGGAATTTGACGTCTTTCAAAATTTTCGCATTTATAGATTCCTTTTCTTTATAGTAGAAGCGCACAAATTGCACAGTCAAATATGCCGGTAAGCGACTTATTTTGCTCTGAAATAAATATAATATTTCTTAGTCTTCAAAGTAAAATGTCATAAAATTCTTTAATTACCTGTCCATCAAAGTAGGAGGGGTATTAATAATAACTGATAAGTTAGTGTTTATTGTTAACAATTATTGTTTTAAATTGAACAAGCAAAATCTTTTATTGTAGGGTATGTTTGAAATGAAATTATGCAAAATTATATATACACTTCCACTGACTACTACATTAAATGAAAATGTAAGAGATCAAAATTTTAAATAAACCTTTTTTTTCGTATTTTTCGCAGTTTTGTTTGATTTTTGGTTTCCGACGTTTTGAACGCCCGAGTCTCTTCCGTGACCATGATTGCTGTATAGCATTCGAAATGTTGGGATACAAGAATCAAAATAAATCCGCGAAAATATCCGAATAGATAATTTTACATAAAATGTCAAATATTCGCGTAAATCTGAGAAAGTATTAAGTTTTGATAAATTGACTTATATAAAGAATCTAGAATAGCTATTAAAATCTTAAAAATCAACATTTAAAATATTAATTGTCAGGTTTCTTGCTGCAAATGCATTCCTAACGGACTAATTAAACTAAAACTTACAGTTTTTGTGTAAACAGCATCCCTCCCTAAAGTCTCTGACATCTTAGTGATTTGCTCTGCCATTTTCTGTTTAGACAAAGAAGAACTTTATTAAAAATAATATAAATATGATAAAACCAAACAAAAGTTTAAAAATACATTTTTACAAGATTAATTTTTCATAAATAACAAACTAAATTCACACATTTGTACTCGAAAAAGATACTACTTTATTAACTTAATATAAATTACTATTAAAGGAATATTTTATAATCCTAAACAAATGATAACCAAACTTTGGATCTCAAAATTTAATTTTATTAGTGGAATAAAAAAAGAAAGGAGCAGAATTAATTGCTTTCAATATCTATATAGAATACTCACAGATCTGAGACCAGATTGTAAATATTTGACATCCTGTGAAATAAAGCAAGACAGTTGTAGGAAGGTCTCTTTGGAGCGAGTTGGAGGCTCATCTGCTTCACTGCATACTAACTCCACATCTAGTGTGCCACCAAAGTATTGTTCTACAAGAGATTTACTGAAAATATAACAAATAAAAAAAAATTAAGCATTCCTATTATATTATATTTATTGTACAAAAAATTGCAAAGTGAAGATGTTTTTTTTATTTTTTTATTGTTTGAAAACTACTTAAATCATTTTAAAAAAGTTGTGTAATCAAGGGCAGTAAAAAATATATGTTAAAAAAAAGTTTTTCAGCATTCTGAAGAGAATATAAATGATTACTTATATTTTTTTGTTCTTACCTATCAGGCTCGGGTGCTATAGGTAGCCTCATTCTCAATGCACGGACTATCTCTGTCCAGCATTCGGAAGCATCTTGCTGTGCTAACTGTCCTCCTGCTCCTCTCTCTGCCAAGCGGGGAGCGGCAGCGTGCAATGCGTGGAGTAATCGAGCCGCAGCTGCTGCACAGGCACCAGCACCACCACTTTCTAGTGCTCGCATTGTTTCACTAAGTGCTGATGTAAGTCCACCCGCTGTTCCACCACCAGATGCTACATGGGAATTGATTTGGTAAATGAATTCTCTCGTATAGTTTAATTTCTATGAAAGAGGGACATATTTACTGACTTATTTATTAAAAGGCATTTCAAAATATATACAAAATACTTGTTTTCAACAATGTGCTACATACAAAGCGATACATAAAAAATAGGCGTGAAAAATGCTTCAAATATTTGTGAAAAATGCACTATTATAAAAATGTTATTAACATTTTTTATTTTATAATTTGTTTTTTTTTTCAAAATAAAATCAAATCAACATAAAAATAATTATTGAAAATCTGAAAAACATATAATAATAATATCTTAGTAAAATTAACTTTAAAACAATTCATTTATTAAAAATATTGTGTTTTAGTCAGGGGTAGACCTCACATTTGGGGGGCCCTGGACTAATACTTCGCAGGGCTCTGAAAATGACAATTAGTTTCATTAATAAGAATTAAACTAATCACCATTTTGCCTTTAAAGAATTTATAATGATGATGCTATTAGACAAATTAAGGTAACTGTATTGTTTGGTTCTGTTTAAATGATCTCAGAGTTATTAGACCAAAATTTTATGCCCATTTTTTTTTTTTAATTCATATTCATTATTATAATAATAACACCTCCAGGTAAATTTCTAAACTGTAAAAAATGTAAATGTAAAGTGGACTCGTTTTCCGCACTTAGACTCTCTTCTGGTCCGTTGTGCGTGCGAATCCTGGCTATATTAGCCAGCCGTGGTTCGTGTCCTATTGCTCTATCCAGGATGGATGTAAATTTCTAAGAAATTTATTAAATATCTAAGAAATCTATTGTTAACTATGTTGGCGGTGTGTCCGCCGTCGTGGAGGAATTATTATTATATTACAATGTTCAATATTTTCAATAGTAGGTCCGTTATATCTAGGAGCACTGGGCTGCAGCCCAAAAAGCTATATAGATCTACCTCTGATTTTAGGTAATTTTAGCTTATACATGCAAATGTACATGCCAGTACATGATAACAATATTTCTTTAATGTGGTATTAAAATATATACTTACACTGATCATAGTCAAGAAGAGCATTTCTCAATTCAGGGACAGTTTTAAGACATTGTACTGTAGCATTCATGTAACAGGTATTTCCCAAGTTAATTAAACCTTCTGGCAGGTCGAGCTGCAAAATGTTAAAAAAGGTCAACATTATTGAAATCTTAATGTTATTAACTGACTTTCCAAAAAAAAATTTATGTATGTTCATTGATTACTCGAAGACGTCTGAACCGATTTGGATTTTTTTTTGTTTCAGAGGGTATACTTCCCAGGTGATTCCATATAAATTTTATCGAAATCCTTGGAGCGTTTTTTAAGAAATCAACAATAAATATATTTTTTAAATAAATTGCTTAATCGAATAAGTTATTAAAAAACTTTCTTCTTACAAATTACCTGCTTATTACATCTCTACACTAAAAATGAAAAAATAAAAACTTTTTAACAAAAAATAAAAACCAACTTCCACACACTAAAATGTAAAAAATAACTAAACGGAGGTTTTCATTTAGAATAGATTTAGATTAAAATAATATGTTTTAATTTAATTATAATAAACACGTTTAAAAATAATCTGAATAATCGTCTTTCTTCAGACATATCGAAATAGAACCTAGAAAAGGGGTTGTTGTGTATGTACATTATTTTTTATTTATTTTTTATTTCTACATAATATAATAAAATTCTGAGTCAAATCTGTACATTAAATATTTTTTTGGAAAATCTTATTGATATATGTACCTAGTCATTATTATAGATACAGATGCCGAATCTATAGTTTTTGGAATTTTTGGCTGTCTGTCTATGACCGCATCACGTAAAAACCACTGGAGGGTTTCGAGGGATTTTGAAGAAATTTGGTATGATGATATCTGGTTGTCCGGGTCAACATATAGGATACTTTTTACTAATCAGATATTTTCGAAGTCGGTGCCAGCCTACAATATTTTAAGATATGAATATCTAATAGGTAAATATGTATTTTACATATCGAAATATATTACATTTGCTTCGCATTGGCTGGCACCGACTTCGTAAATATCTGATTAGGTATCTATACTAAATGAAAACCTCAGTTTAGTTATTTTTTACATTTTAGTGCCTGGAAGTCGGTTTTTATTATTATTTTTAAAAGTTTTTCTTCTATACAAGTCATTTTGCATGAAATCTATTTAATCTTAAGGAAAACATGTTTTGTTATATCTTAAAATATATTGTTTGTGTTTGGCAAATTGCCATAATAAAATTGAAGTTGAATACAATCTTTTAGTATCTATTTTTGTTTTGTTTTGAAATTATTTTTACTATAGATACTTACAGCAGTAGCTAGCTCCGACTCATTCATATCCTCAACAAAACGGGTTTGTTCAACTGGAGCTGCTGGCACATCTTCCTCTTTACTGCCCATAACAAGTACAAGTGCATTCTAAAATAATAAATATTCTGATTAATGATTGAACTTTTTGTAGACTTGCTTAAATAAAATATAATTATAGAAAAGAAATATAAAAATTTTTTTAGCAGTATTAAAAAACTTACATACAGTATGGAAATGTATATGGAAATACTTACATTTGTCAATTTAAAATTTGCCCAACTCTCATCTTTTAATGTGACACCCTTGCACACTACTTTTTGTCTTTCTGGTTGAACACCAGTTAAAGCAAATATTTGTGCCTTAAACAGGACCGGTTCGTCATCTGTATTTACTTCTACATCTGGGTATAATTCCTTACCCCATTTAACTTTCACTGGTAGAACAAAGAAAATGTGTTAAATACCTAATATTCGTATCTAACTTAACAGATGTAACACCTAATTATGTTCTAATAATATAAAACGTTGTTTTTGTTTACCCTGCTCAATAAAAAGTAAAAATAAATAGAAGCAACAAATATTCTAGAAAGCCGGCATTTACGCTAAAAAGCATCCTCGACATCTTTTTCCAAATGACAAAACATTAATTGTAAGTTAGTTGATAGTTCAAAATGAAAAAAAATATATAAAAAAGCAAACCAAACATTTTTGTGTGTATTCATAATTCTTAGAACAGTGTTTTATCGCCTGATTTCGATATACCTAATTAACCTCAAATTGTTAGAATGAATAAGCATGATTATACCGATTATGTTACTGTAACATACCTGAAACCTTCGGCATGATTAAATTTTAATAACAAAATAAACACAATGATAGCGATGAAAAATGGTTCAATAACAATTTTCAGAATTGAAAGTCACGATCAACGGATCAACTTCGTGGATTTGTTGACAGTTGTTTGACAATTCTTAAGTCAACAGTCAAGAAATATTTTTTTAGTTTACTTTTATTAAAAGATAGTTACTATAAATAATTTATTTTATCCTATAAATTAATTTAAAATTAAAAAAATGAACAAACATTAAAAATATAAAAAAAAATATAAGTTTTGTTACAGTTCACTAATCTACTAATCATATTTTTTTTCTCTTTATATAGAAGCCATAAAGAAGTTGGCATTAGACGCAAGCCGCCTTTTTTTTTCATTTTTCAAAATAGCGACGCGATAAAATTGTTATACAGTATGAATGGATAGAGGACCATTCAAATAAAAAATATCAGATTATAGGGCGCTGAGGTGTCGCGTTCCAAGATATTTTGAGTAAAGATCACTTATCCCGGGAAATATTATTTGGATATAATAACGTATTGGTATTAAACTCTAAAAAACCTTTCACTTGCAAATCAAAGTCTAATCTAAATTAGTTCAGCAGTTTTAGAGATTAGCTCGGACAAACTAATTGACACTAGCTAAGCATTAATGGGTATTTAGACTGTGGTACCGTATGAATATATAATCACATGAGATAAGGAGAAAAAGAATTCATTATGAAATCACAGATAGCAGGACAATCAGTGAGAAATTTAAAATAACACGCCTGTAATTCTATTTTAATGTTCCTTTCCATTTTTATGTTATTTTAACTATACATTACAATAGATGGCGCTGTTCAAGAATGTCGATACGTCGAAAATACTTTTTAGGCGGGCAAACTCATACATGAAAACTGAAAATGCTAAATGCTCAGACTTAAAAATTATTCTTAGTGAGGTTTAAGGTTATTACATCGGATTATTAATAGTCATATTTTTAAAACTTTTTACCTCTTAAAAGGCACATTACATTAAGATCGTGATTTTTCAATTAACCGCCCATCATTGGCGTTCGTTCCTAGTCAGAGAACCTGAAACTCTTGACGAATTTTGACTTTTTGTATGGTGAAGAATAGTTATTAACCACCAAAAACATTTTTATGTAAAAAGGTTGCCAAGACGAGACCATATCTCTCGCACTGTCAAAAAGTTATCAAATCTGATGTAGAGCCAAGCTTTCAGCAGTCAGCTCTACATGCCCTAACTCTACAAGCTCTAGCTTCACAAACTCTACACCTCAAAATATGTGGCTACGCTGAGGCTCGCTACCATTACATGACGTAAGGTGAAAAATTTATTCAATGATCAATACCTTTCTGTTACACAATACTTCTAGTAGTAACGGTACGACCAAGCCACACATTTTGACTAAGGGATTGGGGGATAATATAATATAATATTATATATTATATATAATATTTATCTGGTATATTCCAAACCCAAGTTATGAGGGTTCAAAAAAAACGACGAAGCGTTTCGAGAAAAGATAGGTAGTGGCTAGTGTTCTTGCACTTCGCTTGGCGGGTTTATAGCGGCCTCGGAATTTGAAATTATGTATTGGATTTCTACAAAAAAAAATTCTTTTCAAAATCTTAAAAACTTCTAAAAATTTTCAGAATTAGCTGTAAATATATTTTTACAACGTTAATATTATGAAGTAAAATTTATACCAGAATATACTTCAGTTCAAGAGAAACGTAATATATTACAACTGCACAAAATGCGATGCGTCGGCTGCTCGAACTCTGTACCGTTGAACTCAGTAAATTTTGTATTTCTGCATGCATGTGTTGCGCACTATATTATAATGGGTATACATGAAACTATTAAATTGATCAACACCATACAAAACTCAAAATGAATTCTAGCTAATTATTGCAATTAGAATGAAACACTTTAAATCGCAATAAATAATTAATATTTTAAGTACAAAAAATGATTTGTTTCTGTTATATAAAAAAGAAAAATACTGATTTTAATATTTGTATGTTATTTATTATGAACAACATTTATAATCAATCTTTAAGATATAAAATTGTGACTTTCTAAAAAACATGTACCTAAATGATCTATACATATAATAAAATTATTGTAACTAAGCCGAATCTGTACATTAAATATTTTTTGGAAAATCTTGAAATAGACATTATTATCGATACAGAGTCCGAATCTATAGTTTTTAGAATTTATGTCTGTCTGTCTGTCTATCTGTTACCGCATCATGAGAAAACCACTGGACAGATTTTGATGAAATTTGGTATGGTGATAGCTGGTTATCCGGGTAGGATACTTTATATATCCCCCCCAACGTGCGTTCACCTTGTCGTGGTGGGGGGGGGGGGGGCTCAGTAGTAGTAGTACGAAGCTAAGAAACGCACAGGGAGGTTGCCCACTTCGGTGGGCGGTGGGAGGTGGCCCTCTTCGGGGGGCGGTGTACCTTGCGGGTTGCTCCTGGTACTTCTCTGATAGCAGAGTGGACCTTGGAGCAACCCCAAGGTTGTGGTGGTCTGCTTTGGCAGACCTGCCGTCGAGGCGTCGTAGTTGAATGCGTAAGCAATCCTGCGACGCCCCATTAAGACGGGGGAAGGTTTTGTTGGGTTTTAGTGGGTAGTACTGGCTGTATTACGCCGGTGAGTCCCACACGTCGTGCGTAAATGCATTTCCCAACGTTAAAAAAAAAAGGATACTTTATATATAGGATACTTTTTACCGCGGGAAAATATCTCATTTCTGAGAAAATAAAAAACTGCAATGTAAGAGTATACTAATATATAAAACCTAAGAATTTGGTTATTGGTCATCTGAACGCGGGCGGAGCCGCGGGCAACGCTAGTATGTACTATAATACTAGTCTTTCACTCAAGAAAACTCCCTAAGTAAATCAATGTCGGATCGAATGATCGGATAAAATATTCATTTAATTTCTACTCATTTCACGATAGGTACATAAAATTACTGTCACCCATGTATTGAGAAGAGCTACTTCCATGGTGGTTTAGTGGTTAGCATGTGCGGCTGCAGATCCGAAGGTCTTGGGATCGAATACCGATGTTGGATGTGCGTGCGTACTTATACAATATAACGTCTCCTGCTCCAAATGGCTAGTCTCATTGAGATTGGCCGTCGTGGCCGAAATTAGCTGAATAATTATATTTTATTATACTCGTAAATGAAATTTTACTCCGAGTAGTACGTACAAAACCTGCCGACATAATTTCTTTCAATAGGTAAACCTGAATTGAAATTAACTTGTATTTGCAGCGACTTTTATACTTTATCAAAATCGGACGTAAATACTAGTACCTAAATGTTATATTTATTTAATTTTCTTTAAAGTTATCATGAAATACAAAACATAACATATACTTATTTAAGTAGGTTAATAAGTTATCCTACTAACAATAGGTATATTTTTTATTATAATAAAAAATAATCTTAAAATCACTAAGTATTGTAAATATAATAAATACCTACAGTTGGCCATACTTCGAAACGTTTTATTTCGACAGTTATGTGTAAGTATATAATTGGAATCATATGAATTTTAAGAATAATTTTTGACATCAATTAGATACGTATGTAATTTTATAAGCGTTAAGTTAAATTTTATGTGAAAAATTATAATTGAATGAAAATTTTTTTCTATTGGCACTCCAATTATAACACTCGACATAAATCATGTAATAATCTAGAGTACAGGACAGACGAAGGCGTTCGATGAACTTTCCTTCGAAGCCTGCGCGTACGCGGCCTACGGCAGTCTTCGTACAGCCATCAGAGTGCACTAACGTGTATAGAAACATATCCTAAAAGTTAATATTTATAACAATAAATGTCGCAGTGTATAATATTATAAGAATTTACGTTTGTAAATGTTCAGTGTGAGTGTTGTGGTGTTTTAGAATATGTATACTAAAAACAAATCGTGTAATTGTTAATGTGTGGAGTACTGCGGCTGGAGCTTAATGTAAGTTTTCGAGCTTACGTGCTTAGGTTATGATGAGCGCATTCATGGTAAATAGTATTAAAATATTTGTACAGTATACACATAAAGTGTACGTAGTATGGTATCGCATTTATAGCTCCTGTGCATCTTTTTCTAAAATAAAAGTTATCGAGCGCGTTTTTCTATAGTCTACAAATCCTCGATAGCTTTAGTTTTATAAAAAATACTTAGTATCTAGTATGTTATCGTACTACGAAATTTTCAATTTATTATAAGTAAAAGCTACAATGTAAAATAAAGTAGAGTCAAATATTTTACATGTACATTTTTAAACAAGACAAAATAAGTTTTAAATACGTCTTCATCAAACGATGGCAATGATCAAACTAACGAACCTGTACCAAACCGATTTCCTTCGTTTATTTTAATCGTTTCACAGTCTATCGTGAAATCGGATTATTAGCCTGTTAAATATAAATTTATCGAAATATGTATCATTCATATGAGCCAAAGTATAAATTTTATATTTTTGCCAATTACACGGCTGTTTTTATGTATGCAAATTTCTTACAGATTAAGCAACTCTACATTTTTTTCTGAGAAAATATGAAACGATATTGCGCGCTAAAATAATAAATGGTCTGGTATTAAGCAAATAGAGACTCATCAATAAAACTAATCAGTTATTTAAATTTGTGTATATTTAAAAATATTTTTTTTACATTTATTCTACTAAACTTTTTAATGCATCAGATAAAAAAAATACGGAATATAAATTATATATATACGATACAACGAACCAGATACGTTTGTATGTTTACGGCATTGCTTAAGGTGGAGTGACTGATATGAGTGACTCTATCAGAAGATTTGCATTCTAATCGCTGATATCTTAAATATTTCAATGAGAATTATTTTCAGTACCTACTATGTAAAATATAAAATAAATTTCTATTATAAGTTTAAAACAATGTATTGTTAATAGAGAAGCATGTAAGAATGTATGTAACAATTTGAAACC